ATAAGACCCCCAATATAGGTCGAAACAGCTGTCTGTCGGTATTTATAGTAGGTGGAACGCACTGAAAACAAAAACTCTGGCGAGGTGAGATTTCAATTATTTCTCTTTATAAATATAGAATTTTACTTTTACATTTTCAGAATGTTAACCTAACCGTTTTGGAACATTAGCGCAAATTATTTTAATTTAACATTTTATTGGTGTTAAGTGAATATGCTAAAAAGGATACCTGGACATTTCAAGAAATTTACCTTAACACCCTAAGAAAGTTAAATTAACCAAATTAGCAGATTAGAACAAATATTCTCATTTTGTTTATTTGACTGTTATTTGTTGTTTAATTAAACAATACAATTTGACATTTTTAGATGGTTATGTAAACGTGCAAAAACCATTGCTTGTATTTAAAGTGCATAAATAGTTGAATTAATATTTTTTTTGTTGTTTCAACAGCTTATTTTTTTCAGTGTATATGATGTAACTACTCCACATAGTTTCAACCATCTTGTACCTACTGCGCATGTTCGTCATTTTGAATCCGCAATTTTGTTTTTTTAATGGATATCAAATTCTTAATCAGGGACTCCATAAATATCTAAATACTAAATTTTACCCATACCATTAAAGCCGAACGAAAAATTTTCGTCATATTGGATCAGCCATTTTATTTTTTGAAGAAATTGATATCAAATTTGTAATCAGCCCCTTAAAAACCACATGTTGTTGATAAGTTTATTGAATAAGCAATGCTTATTAAGCATACGCGTATGCTTAATAAGCATCGCGGGTTTTTTAATAGTATAAGGAGTGCCATGGCACTCCTTATTATTAAAATTTACCCTGTATAAGCACATCTATGCATAGATGTGCTTATACAGGGTAAATTTTAATAATTATTATTATTATTTTATAAGTAATTTTTTCTTGGTTAACGTTAAGTTGTGTTATAAAATAATACAACTTTAACCAGGAACAAATTTTGTTATGAAATGCGAATAATGTTCTCATTGGTCCAAATAAATATCGTCATTTATGTGCAAAATTATAATTTTTATGTAAAAAAATTGTTGACTTATTACCGGAATAATTGAGAGAACGAGAGAGATCGAGAGAAGCGAGAAATTCTCTCGTCTCGTCTCGAGCCTTTTTTCGAGAGAAAATCGCCCTCTCGTCTCGTCGAGACGAGACGAGACGAGAGGCGAGAATCTCTCGTATCGGCGGCATCACTACTAAACAGCTACTTCAATTTTTACTTAAAAGTAGTTCTAACTTTTAAATAGCAATATTTTGTAACATAAACTTCATTCTTTCCTTAAATGGTTATACTATAAAGTAATAAAATAAGTAGTAAAACTTGGTTGCCTCCAAGAAGACTTTGCAACTTTAAAAAAGGTGTTATAAGTAAAAAAACTTTCAAGTAAATTTAATTTGTATCAGTTACTTTCGGTTTCTACCTAAATATTACATTATAATTATTTTTAACTTTGTAGTGCCTTTGCAAGTTAAAATCTCGAAACTGGAACATGAGTTAAAAACTACAAAGTAAATAACTTAAAAGTTATTATTTTAGTATTTGGAACGTTTATGGTTCCAACCAAAACTACCCTAAAGTAAATTAACCCCTTCAGACCTGGTGTACATTCAGATGTACATTAGCTTTTTAGTAATTTATTTACTATCAATAGGCATTAAATTTCCAAACCAAGGTACATTTTGCGACTTCTCTTACTTAAACTGCCCCTTTTGATTGAAAATTCTCTCATATAATGGAGATGCACATAATGACAGCAACACCTCGTTGACGACAGTTTGTCTTAGCGGGTCTTTAGATGATTTGTAAAGATATTAAGTATAAACTGGTGTAGTTTGTTCCTAAAGGTATGTACTAAGACATGTAAAAACTATTTTGGTATTATCCACACCTAAACCGTATAAAACATTCGATGTACAATGTACATTGTACATGCATGTGAACATCCTGAAATTATCCTGAAATTTCACAATTAAAATTTTTTAGCATCAAATATGTTATTTAGGTACTAATTCGATAGATTTAAGAGCCATTTATTTTTTTTTATCGTTTTAGGTCTTAAGGAGGAAAAAAACTTTAAAGTAGCGAAAACTACTTCAAAGGAAAATGCTTCTAATCGGACATTTTTTACTGTACAGTACCACGTGGTAATGTAAATAATAAATTATTTTAATTTTTTGTAAATGCTTGTTTACTTTTTAATAAATAGTAATTTTGTTGGTATTAATAATTAAATAAAAAATTAAGAATACATATTAAGATTTTTTTTATTTATAAAAATTATTAAATAAATAATTTGTTTATACTTAAATATTGATGAAGCGCATTTATTTTACAAAAACTAAATTCATAAGTTCAACAGTTAAATTAAAGGGTTTATACCTGCCTAATTAAACATTATATTGTTATTCTGGAAGTTATAAACTACCAGTACCTACATATTTAATAAACGATGACATCGATAAGCCAAGTCCGTAGTGGTTCCATTTAAAAAAGGAGGGATAGTATAATCTAATATAAGTTTGACAAAGACAGTTAATATAGAAGTAAAAACAAATAAATAAAAGTAATTATAACGCTCTAGCAACGATATTGAAACATTCTAGTAACGTAGCAGCTACGTTCCAAATAGTAGCAGGGTTTATAGCTGGTGACATATTTGATACCTTTTTGGAACTCAATAATTGTTCCCCACTTTAGTCGTAACTTAGTAATGAAAGAGTAATATAAAGAGACCGGCGACTGTCGCAAAACACTTTAAAGTTTCTTCAATAGTCCCATATACGTAACAAATACTTAAATTGTTGCTTGGGGGTGCTATCGAATGACCCACGAGATCACCCGATTTATCTCCCCTTGATTTATTTTTGTACGGACATCTAAAATCCAACATTTATGCCACCCAGCCTGAAGCCTTAGAAGATTTACGGAACCGAAGAACTTTGAACAGTTGCTGTACTACCTACTGTATGGAGGTGAACTGTGGACATGTTCAACAGTTAATAAGTTAATATATTACGTATATGTACTAATGAATAAAATTATATTAAATTACTTGGCAACCCGCAGCATAAATTTAAGAAACAAAGCAATATTTAAAAATTCAAAAGATGTATCACAACACCCCTTTCCATTTGATAAAATAAAGTTAAAGCTGACCCAGCTAAGGATTTGAAGTTAACCTTGCTGGCCCACCTTGTATATAATTGTCTGTCCCTGTACCTACTTACTGCAAATAAAAATACGATTAAAAAATATAAAAAGCATAAATGAATAAACAGGTGACGATTAACCAACCCAAATTCCGAGCTACACGTGAATTATTACTTTGGCTTTTTCCCAAGACGTCAGTTCAAGAAGCGAAATGATTAAGTTGGTGCAAATAGATTTTTCTAAGTGGTATTGCAAAGAAAGTTTTAATTTATTCGACTGTTACAACAAAGTTAACTTATCAAGGCTTTTATTGGCGCCTTGTTATTCTATACATTATACTGTTTAATTTTAGTTGCCTTTCGAAATTCCAGCACATTTACTGGAACAAATTGTTTTTATGAAAGGTGCTTTTTAAGAGCGATATGTTTTTAATAATATAGACAGAAATTGAGTTTATAAAAATATTGTTCTACTCCCACCTTTAAAACGTCCTTTATCGTACATGTTTGCATGATACTAAGTGACCTTTTAAATACACATGGACAAGTTGTGGCTTTATGGAGCTTTAGTACGGGCTAAAGTTAGCAACAGGTGTTTAGTCACGGGCTGAAGTTAGTTTTAAGTTAGTTGACAGTTGTCAAATGTCATACAATCGTTAAAATAAAGTGCATTTCTTGTAAAATAATACTAAATGTGAAAATTATTTTATTATCTCAATACAAAAATACAAAAGTATTACCTAAATAGTTTCTCAACGCCAATATTTAAAAAGTTTATAGGTATGAACATTGTACTGACCTTTTAATTTCGCCGGCAGTAAACTATAACTTAAATTCGGGCACGGACTCCACTGTAAAGTCCTCATAAAACATTTTCTTTACTTTCACTGTGAAAAACTGTCAATTTTCAAGAAATACATTTCGATTTATAACCTTTATAATCTGTGTTTATAAAATTTAAAAATGTGACATTTGACGGTGACACACAGATTCCCCTATTGTTTCGAAGATGGTGCTCTATACAAATTTTTGATTTAAATTATTTTAAGATAATAATAAGTCGTAGAAAAAGTAAAGTATGCACCTCGTTTATAAACTTTTCTAAACACTCATTAATTTATCCACTCGCTCGCAAGCTCACTCGTGCCTAAAGTAAATTCGTGTATAAAATGGCGTTTATCAAACTTGATACATAATATACTATTATCTACTCCTACATTGACGTGCTGTGAGTTTATGGCATTTTAGTCAAATGATTAAGGTAGCAATAGTGGCTTTTGAGCAATTTAGTCACGGCTGAAGTTTGCTTTCATATAAATTAGTGAAAAGTGAGGTTAAATACGTTAAAAGTTGACAGATGTCAAAAGTTTAACAAATAAAATCGGCTTTAAATTCTTCTTTGTGCTCGTCGTAGATGAAGTATAGCATATGAAACTCGTTTTATAAACTTCTGTAGACACTCGTTTTTATTAAACACTCGCTCGCAAGCTTCGCTCGTGCCTAATAAAAATGGCGTTTATAAAACTTGATACATAATATAGGTACTATAAGGATGTAAATTCCAACCCAAATATTAAAAATACGCACTCTTGCAACATCTTACCATACGATTGTTAAACCCGGCGCATTCGCCATTTTTGACAAATTATTTAACCATTAATTCTCTGGAAAGACGCTTTGTGCATTAAAATCATAGAATCATTTATTAAAAGCATATTTTAATTTATTGGCAGGAATATATTTTTTTTATTTATTTTAAAATTTTATATTTAAGCAACCCACCTCTAAAACCCAAAGCATATAGTTTTGACAATCGACATAACCTCCAAATCCTATCATAACATAACCTATATTATGTTCAAACGTGGTTCTGTAAAATGGATTTATTCGTCGTAAATAGGTAATAATATTGTTTAATTATACTGTAAACGATTTATATAGGTATAATGTTTTATTAAATTTTAGGTATGATGGGGACAAAACAATCACTGAAGAAGAAGAAAAGGCAAAGTTGGACAGCGTTCTAAAAAGAATCGAAAGAAACCGTAAATTAAGACAAAATCAGAAAGAAAAGGAGAACAAAGTGAAAGAAGCTAAGAAGTATGCAATTGAACAGAGACAATTGAAAAAAATAAAAAAGGCAAGCTTTATCGCAGTACCTGAAAATGCTCACTCAGAGTATATTGCAAAAGATGAAATTGCAGAAATAGAGGACGAAAAGAAAGTTGAAGTAGAAGAAATACCGAAAAACAAAAAGCAAAAGTTGGATCCCACTGCAATAGAAGGTTTTACTATACTGGGCTTGGAAACGTTCGACAAAAAAGCAAAAGTAAGTTTAACCCCTAATATACACGTTATACAGCTATAGTAGCTATACTGAATAATTTAAGGTAAAAAGAGTGCTTCCAAAATGGTTATCCACTCCTACGGTAATATCTGTGAACCTACAGAACTTACAAACCAAAACTTCAGAGTTAAAAATCCTTGACAAGTCATTACGAAAACTACTCAAAGAAAACAATGTTAAGCACCTCTTTCCAGTGCAAGCCAAAGTAATACCATGGCTTATAGAAGCCAATAAGCATGCAGATGTTATATTTCCAAGGGATATTTGTGTTTCAGCACCCACAGGAAGTGGTAAAACCCTTGCTTTTGTTTTGCCTGTCATACAGGCACTCAAAGGTAAAACCATCAAGAAAATTAGGGCTCTTGTTATTTTGCCTACACAAGATTTGGCAACACAGGTTTTCAAGACTTTTAGGTTGTATGCACAAAACACAAACTTGGATATATGTTTGATAACAGGAAATAATCCATTTGCTTTCGAGCAAAAACAACTAGTTTCACAAAGTAACTATTTTAAACATTTTAATCTCTTACTCATTTATTAATACTATTTTTTAGATGAAGCATTTGGTTTTGTCAGTAAAGTGGATATATTAGTTTGTACTGCAGGTAGGCTTGTGGATCATTTAAAACTTACCAAAGGTTTTTGTTTAAAGAATTTGGAGTTTTTGATTATTGATGAAGCTGACAGGGTTTTAGACAGTGTTCAAAATGACTGGTTGTATCATTTGGAAAAACACATTTATGAAGAAGGTAATTATTAATTTTTATTAACTACCAAATTTTTTTTACTTTTGCTATAATTTACATTTTTTAAATATGAATTCATGTAAAAATCATTTTAAATATCAATAGTGATTATAATGATTATGATTGATAATGATTATAGGGGCATTCCACGTTACTCGGTAATTTTTGTCCCGCCCGTCACAATTAAAAATTGAGGAGTGATTTTTCAAAAGGTCGTATTTCCATTTGCAACAATTTTTCAAAAAAATGACTATAACCTGTATAGGTTAGGGCAATATAGATTATATAAAAAAAATTCTGATGAATATTTAATAAAACTTCAGACCTGCTGTTTCGCCGTTAATATATGCCTTTTAACCATACCTTTGGGATTTTGTCAAAAAATTACATTCAAGTAAAAATGGAAATAAGGCCTTTTGAAAAATCACTCCTCAATTGTGAGTAAAAACCACAAGTTATAAAATTAATATTTTATAATATTATTTTTATTGTGCTTATAACTTATTAAAAGTATAATAAAACAATATTTTTAAATAAATTTTATAACATGTGGTTTTTTTTACTCACAATTTTTAATTGTGATGGGCTGGACAAAAATCCCCGAGTAACGTGGAATGACCCTATATATAGACTATAGTCTTATAATTAGTACGATTTTTTATATTATATTATTATACAAATATAATTTTTAAAACCTTATACATAACTTAAAAACTACTTGTAAAATTTTTATTTTTTATTTTTGAGACCAAATTTTAATTTTTGTTTTTGTAAGATAAATTAACCTCTTATCATGTCTGTATATGGGTGAATATATTGAGATGTCCCCCAAGTGAAAATGGTTATTTTTTATTTTTGATTGTTTCATTGTTAGTCTAGAATGGGGTTTTTGGGAAGCCACCAGGTCTAGTAATAGCATAACAAGTGGTTCTGCACTAATGCAAGAATTTTAAGAAATCATACATTTTGAATATTAGAGCTTCACGAAAGATAGCTTCACGGAGGTTAGGATTTCGTATCGTTTTTTTAAACATCCCTTTGTATATTTGAAATTTGACACCTTAATTTAAAAAAAATACACTTACCGAGATATTACACTTCACGGTGGATAGGTTTTTAAATAGCAAATTAATGAACTTAAACTTTTGAATTATAAAACAGCAACTCTCTCATCTGCATATAAATTCTAACTGACCTTCAGGAATCACATGCATCTATAATGTCGTAAACAGAGGTTTTTGCTTATTTAAAATGATTAAAGCGCCATCCGTTGCATAAAATTTAAAGCAAAAACAGATTCACGGAGGATAGAATCAATTTTTGTAAATGGTTACAAAAATTATTTCTTTTAATTTATAATAATATTTTTTATTTGATTCGATTGCTTTGGATGTGTTTAATTTACTTAGTGAACTGATATTTTTAGTAAGTATGCTTTTACTACCTCAGATATTTGAAAACATATAGGTCAACCTATTAAGAGTAACAGTCACGGAGGATAGGTTTTAGACTTTTAAAACATTGTACAAAATAATTAATTGCGGTTAAAAATCTGGAACATGAGCTGTAATATCTACTATGAAAGATTAAAACACAATACAATCGTATTGTATAAACTTAAGTTTAGGTCAAACTCATTTAGTTTTATTAAATATCATGGGTTAACACCATCAGGGGACATTTCGTGAGATTCACCCATATAACCTTTCCAGTATATTGTTTTTTTAAACTTAAATTCTTAAAGGCTTGAAAGAAAAAAAAATTATAATTTTTTTAACTACTTTTCGCTATTTTTTTAAAATAAGTTTTCATGTATGTAATTAAAAATCACTATATTTTATAAAATTGTATTGCTTATTTTCTACAATCATTTTTTTAAAATGTAAAATATGAATTTTGACCAGTTTCATATCTTAACAGATATCTCATTGTTAAATTAATTCATAATTTTAAGGACATTTTGTATAAAAGGCTAATAAGGCTGATTTTTTTTAGATGTTAACTCTCAAACCAGTAAAATTCTAAACCTTACCTCCCTTCAAAAAAGAAGACCCCCTCAAAAACTTCTATTCTCTGCCACATTATCCCAAGATCCAGAAAAATTACAAATACTCTCCCTATTCCAACCAAAACTATTCACATCCGTGGTAGAAACTGAAGAAGGTACCTCAAATACAACAATAAACACCGAAACATTTATTGGAAAATACACAACGCCAAAAGAATTAACAGAAAAATATGTTGTAACATCGTTGGATTTAAAACCGCTGGTTTTATACAAATTTATAAAGCAAGAAAAATTGACGAAAACTATTATTTTTACTCATTCTGTGGAAAGTGCTCATAGATTAATGATTTTACTGAAATCTTTGTTCAAAGATGAAATGAAAATACAGGAGATATCTTCTCATTTCCAAGTAAAAAACAGGAATGACCTAATCGCTAAGTTTTCAGCTGGAGAAATTGATTTGTAAGATATTTATATTTTAAACCACTAAACAATTTATATATATTTTTTAGGTTGGTTTGTACAGATGCCTTAGCTAGAGGTATTGATTTTCCAAATGTTCAATGTGTTATATCATACTCTGCACCTAAACATTTAAAAACTTATATTCACAGAGCTGGTCGTACAGCCAGAGCTGGTGAAACTGGTTTAGCAGTAACATTATTACACAAAACACAGTTAACAATTTTTAAAACTTTGTTAAAACAAGCTGACAAAAATAATGTTGAAGAAGTAATTACAAAATTGAACAGAAAATATATTGTTTATAATTTATATAATTTTTTTAGTTAACCATATCTGAAGAAGATTTAGAACCCCTAGGAGAACAGTATAAACAATCTTTAGAGGACCTAAAGAAAACTATTCTTAAAGAAGAAAAAGAAGACCTTCAAAAATCGAAAAACGCAAAAAGAAAAGTTCTGAAAAGAAAAAGGAAAAATTCTATACAAAGTAATAGCAGTAAACAATCAACATAATGTCATTATATTTTTTTCCTATTTAAAATACATTTTTTATTTAAGTTTTAATGCTTTTATCATTATTTATCCTTCTAAAATTCAGATTTCCCGCCTTTATCCAGTTATACCAACCACCTTGTTACGTCACCAAATACTAACGTCAAAAATTTGGGTTATGTTGCTTTTCTAATGTAGGATTTTTGTATTAAATAGTAAATATGAGTGTTTATAGCCTTATTAATAATGTAGCACGGTAATTATCGCCACACAAGAACAATTAAATCACTAAATTAAATTTTTTATAGGTTGTCCCTACAGACATCATTTTCCAATACTATATCTAGAAATGTTTCTACAAGTACGAGTTTGTTATTCAGAGCAACGCCATGTCTCATGGCAGAGCCCCTAAAGAAGAAAAAACGTCTGGACCCTGCCATAGTCCGTTCCAGAGAAGAACGTAAAAAAAAGAAAATTGAGAAACAAATTCGTAGACTGGAAAAAAATGCTAGGCAACTGAAACCTATTCAAGAATGTGAAGTTTCACTTGCTATTTTGGATGATAGATCGTATGTTAGTAATTTAAAATGTAGGTTTTTGTTAATTGTTATTTTTTTAGAAAAAGGGAAAGGAATTTGCCGGCTTTATCAGGTGAAATTGTAGAAAAACGTATATTATTAGAGAAAAAGTGGGCTTTATTCAAAAGAGAACAACATTTAAAAGATATACAATTAATTGATAGGATTGGATATTCACAACAAAGAGCTATGGATGAATTAAGAAATGAATCGGAAGAATTATATCAAGAGGCTTTACAGGTACAATTTTATTATAAAAGTAAAAATAACATTTACTTACCAACACTTAATTTTAGATTGATTTCCAACTTTTACCATTCTCAAGTCAAGGCCCAGTAGAAACTCCACCAATTAAAGATTACCAACCACCAGATGGAGATTATCAGGATATTTCTAAAGTTTGGCAATAATTTAAACTTCTCCAATAAAGTTTTCTCTAGTAAATCTTGTCTTTATATTAATTTACGTCTATTTACAATTATAGCTTAATAACCCCCTGTTTACAGTAGGCTGTGGTAAAAACACTATTTTTTAAATTATTAGGGTCATTTGATGGACAGTTGGTATTTAAATTGAATTATATAAAGACAATTGTTTTAATTTATTAAATAAAAACAGATTAGTATTATCATTATATCCAATACACTTTAATGAACAAAAAGAAAAAGTACAATTACAGCTTTTTTTAACATTTGGAATTTCCGAGGAAATTTTGATTATTTAATCCTAGGGATTTTTGTCAAAGGTCGCGTAGTTGGCACGCATTCTCAATTTCCGACATACTTCACTGCATTGTTGATTATCGTCCAAAAAAAGTTCGATTAAATTTACAAAATGCAAAACTCCCAGGTAATTTTAGTTTTTCTAATAAAAAAATCATTAATCCACAATACTAAATTACACAATTCACACAGATACTATTATCTTAATGCAATTTTTTATAAATGTGGTTAGAATTTACGTAATCACCGATTTTACAAAAATCAATTTTTTTTAGAAACTACTTGGCGCCTGCAGAGTTATTGCAAGGCAAATGAGCACCCTCACCCCCACCTCAGGCAGATATGTAAAAATGCAAGGAGTTCAAAAACATTTGGGGGTAAGAAAATTACAAACTTTTTCTGTCGATATGTGTAACTTTTTTTTAGATTGACAACGATCTCCCAGTCTACATTAAGGGAGGATTTGGGGATAGGGCCATGTTTGGAGCAACCCTTCTCCTCACCATGGCCGGTCTTGGTTTGTCTTTGGAAACATTCTACAATTTGACTGTAGGCAAAAAGGATTAATTTGTTCCTTATGGAATTCAATTCCTATTTGTAGTGAATGTTATGATAATTTGTAAATTTACTCTTATTTAATATAAAATTAGGCGATAATTGAGTTTTATTACTTAACCAAAGCCATGAAAAACAAGGTTGAAGTTCCAACAAATAAAAAAGTTTTTGTTTTTTTATTTATAATTTTACACATTTGATTATGTATGTATGTCAATATACTTCTGTATTTTTAATATTTAAAATTGGTACTCCTGTCCAAGGCCTTAATTTTAAATACTTGGAAATTTAAATTGTCAGAATTATAATAATTGAATTGGTGAGAATAAGAACAGTACAAGTCCAAAAATTGAATTTTGACAGGTCATTTTTAAAATCAATTTTAAAGTTCAAAATACATTTTTGTAAGAAGATAAACCGTAAACACGGGTGACTTTGCACCCCGTGGGTGACTTTAACCCTTTTAAAAAAAAATTTTTCGCGCTCGATAAAATTAACATTTATAATTTGTTCGTCTAAACCTGTCAATTGAGCGATTCTATTGACTCAATAGTATTGAGTTTATATTACAGGAAAATCAGTGTTTTAAAAAATAAATGGGATTTATTACACTTTAAAGTTGTATATATATACATTATATTGTATTATAAATACATTAGGGTGGTCCTTAATAAGGTTATTTTCAAATTTCTTTGCTCCCAGGGGCTCAAATACTTCCAAATTGATAAAAAAAATTCCCTGAAAATTTGAGCTCTTAATATTAACTCTAAGATAGTGCGCATTCCAATCTAAGTTTCCTATGGAAATAACAGGAAAAATTACTTTTGTTGTTTATAATTTTATAACTTGGGAACGAATAAATTAAAAATTATAAATCATACATATTTTTATAGAGAATTTAACGCTCTACAAAAAAGGTCTCTTATAATTTTTCCATTAGTCTATTGGTTTAAAAGTTATTCAACGCCAAAGTTTAATTTTCATATTATTATTAATATTATCAAGGCTTTTTATGAGGCGCCGTTTGTGTCAAAATAAAAAGTGCTAAATAAACTTATTTTGTTTTATAAATAATTAATTATATGCTTTACCAAATAATTTTTTTATAAAATTATTTTTTTATAAAATAATTTTTTTTTAAATTTTTTTTTCTAAAAAATTGTAGGTATAAAATAATTTTTTTATAATTTTTTTTTTTTTTTGATTTTTAGTTTTGTTTTAAGAGAATTGATTTATTTATTTTAATTTGTTTTCAAGAGAATTATTTTATTTATATATTTTAGTTTTTAACAAGTGCTTTCTTATAAAAAACGTTTAAACATAAAGAATTCTTGTTAAAAACTAAAAATCAAAATAAATGTAGATAAAAAATTAATTAATTAATAAAAATAATAAATTATTATTTTCAATCGTTTCCCCAAATTGCGTAAAACAAAAGCCCAGTCCGTCATAAAATTGTATCTGGGGAGGGGCGTTCGGGTTCACTCGGGTTTACTCGAGTACTCGAGAACAAATAGAGATGGCTGCAGTAAAAATTAATTTATAAATGCGCCCGTCATCTTTAATAAAATAATTTTTTTTATAAAATTATTTTTTTATAAAATTATTTTTTTTATAAAATAATTTTTTTTTATAAAATTATTTTTTTATAAAATAATTTTTTTATAAAATAATTTTTTTAATATAAAATTATTTTTTTATAAAATAATTTTCTGCGAATCAAAAATAATAATAATTTTATAAAGCATATGATTAATTATTTATAAAACAAAATAAGTTTATTTAGCACTTTTAATTTTGACACAAACGGCGCCTCATACCTGCGAACCAAATAATATTATCAAAAAATACATACATGTATATTTCTACACTGGGAATGCCATTAAGTTATTTCATTTTTTAACAACTTATATTTTACATTTCCAAATTTATAAACATACTAACATACTAACTACCTACAATTATATTAGTTGGCAAAACTAAATTATTTTGTTTTACTCTTGGAAGAAAAAACTTCAAAGGTTTTACTCAATGTAGAGAATTATAAATATAGGTTTTTTAGTTTTGCCAACTAAACCCCCAATTTTTTTACGTCAAATTCTGAATAAAAACAACAAATTGTATTGCACACTTTATTGCTTTTTAGAAAATAGTAAGTAATAATTTACAAAACAACAACAAAACAAACAGTCAACAAAGTTAACTTAACAAATATATTATCTGTACTCATTGCTATCCTCATCAGTAATTTCTATGGTATCAACAATTTCATCGATAATGACCATTAAATCATCGATCTTCTCATGAGTTTTCTTATATTTTCTATACGCATCATCATCAAATAACTCATTCTTTTTATCACTATAATCTTCAGCCTTAATATTTTTCATTTGAGCAGGATGCATGTCTATTTCACCTACTTCATATTCTTCATCACTTTGTAGGTATTCTTCCTGCATAGATTCTGCAGTGATATCTTCATTTTCTTCCGTCAAAGCCTTGTGGAGCTTTTGGTGGATCTTTGGCACTTTTTTGGGTTTTTCATCCAACAATCTTGTTGGAATAAGTGTTTTTTTCTTTTCTAAAGTATCTTTAATATTGTTTGCCTTCACTTTGACTTCTGGATGTTCCCGAACTTTGTAGTCAATTAGGTTTACAAGCTCATTTATTATGGTTTCTTGTATTTTGGCCTTTATGACTTCCTTATTTGCTATGTTAGGGTTATTCTCTATTATATCCAGAATTTGTTTTTGTATTTTGTGCAATTCTTCACGTTCTTGCTTCAGTCTTTCTTCTTCGATGAGTTTTTTAAGCTTTTCTTTAGTATTTGGTTTTTCTTTTGGTAAGACTATTTCTGGTTCTGGTTCATCCATTTTCTTCCTGCGGTATTTTTGGATAATTTTTCTGATGTTCATTTTAACGTGATGCTTACTTTCGCCGCTTTTTGTATTCGGCTGATCATCATCATCAAAACTCCTCGATTTTTTCTCGTTTTTAATTTTATAAAATCTATCTTCTTTTATTGAAGTTTCCACTGATTTGGATTTTCTGTATTCCTTAAAACGATTTAATTTTGACGATTCTTTTTCTTTTTCCACATTTGCTTCATTTTTTTGTTTATTTTCTTCCTCTAAACATTTTTCATATGCGGTTTTTGAAGCTGCTTTGAGATTATCAACAACATCTACAATGTTAAGTTCTTTTATAAGACGTTCTTCAAATTCGTCATTTGTTACTTTTGGTTCTAAATATTTACATTTGGACGGTTCTTCTCTTTTTATTAACGGTTCTGAGATGTTTTCTTCAGTTTCCATTGATGTTTTTTTAAACTTTTTATTTTTCCTGGTGTTCAATACATCTTCTTCCTTTGGTATTTTAATCTTGATTTCTTTCTTAATAATTTTTACTTTATCCTTATTTTCCTTAGATGCTTTATTAAATTCATGTGTTTTCTTAGTTTCCTGCGTCATTTTACTATCTACATCTTTCTCAACATCAACTTCTTCTGAATCTTCATTTTCATCTTCTAAATTATCATTATTTTCTTCATCTAAATTGTCATTGTTTTCTTCTGTATCTTCATCCAAATCTTCTATGTCATTGGTATTACTTTCATCTATATCTCCTCCATTGCTTTCTTCTGAGATGTTTTCTTCAGTTTCCATTGATGTTTTTTTAAACTTTTTATTTTTTCTGTTGTTCAATACAGGAACATCTTTAATTTCCTCCGATTTGGGTTTTTGAACTATTTTTTGTTTTTTGGAAAATTTTGCCTTTATTTCTTCCAGTTTTTCTTTTTTTTTTACTTTCTCGTTGCTTTCTTCATTAAACATTTCTATATCTTCTTCCTTTGGTATTTTTATCTTGATTTCTTCCTTAATAATAATTTTTTCTTTATCCTTCTTTTCAATGGATGCTTTCTTTAATTCATTTGCTTCCTTAGTCTCCTGAGACATTTTACTATCTACATCTTCTTCAACATCATCAACTTCCTCTGAATCTTCTAAATTATCATTATTTTCTTCAGTCATTTCTTCATAGCCACCTAAATTCTCTTCACCGTTACCTTCTTTGCGTGCCAGCATTTGATCGAATACCTCATCCGAAGTTTGGTCCTCGTTAGAATTGTCTAATTGTATCTGCAAAAAGTCCTTATAGTTATCCCGGCGCTTTAAAATGTAAAGAACCGGTTTGGTCTTGATTTTAACGGGCGGAATCGTCAAATAATTAAAAGAAATCTGATGAAAAGCCTCAATGGTATCTATAATATCGTGGGTGGCTGCGTAAGGCTTCAAATTGCTGCTAAATTTACTTTTAGCTTCAGCAATCAAGTGCGTAAACTCGTACAACTCCGAGTCTCCGACGGACAAGTTCTCTTTCTTCGAATAAATCCAGTCTTCGTTGATCTCCGTGAATCTAGACACCCCCGTTTGGGCGGCTAGATTAGATATGTGCACTGTCACGTTGACGTCGTCTCTGGCCAACCGGTGCAGGTGAGATATGGCAGCGCCGCCAGGGTAGTTTGTGCCCGATATGCTTAGTAAGAACAAGGTGAATAGTATGTTGGCGATTAGGTGGCCCATCGCGCCCAGAGATAGGATGTAGTAAAGTGGTGTTTTGTCGCGATTTTGCCAACTGTAAATACAAATTAAATATTACTATAGGCCCTATAGTATAGGGCCTCTCAATCTCAAATCGACCAGGCAACAAAGGGTACAGTTTCTTTACCGAAATCGATGGGACCCGTATTTTTCCTTTTACTTAATTTTGTTTTGTTCACACGTGGGGAATTTTTGAAAAATGTACAAAAACATCAATTTTTCTCTTTTTACGAGTGAAATTTTTTCTTAAAATTGCGATAACTTGGCCAAATATGTTTCGATCGTTACTTTTTTTTTAGTTGTAGGAAAATGTTTACTATGTACAGGGTGATCCCCTATAATGTCGCCCCCTTTAACTTTTTTATTTTAAGTGTCCCAAAAAATTTAAAAGGTTATGTAAGTAAAAAAAAATACTTTTTTTCTACGTATGAAAAAAAATTAAAAATTGATCAATATACAGGGAAAAACAAAAAGTTTATTTTTTTTAATGGATCACCCTATATATGAATTTATTTTTCGATTCCTTGTAAAATTCTGAGCATAATTCATATAACAAACCATATCCTAAATTCAACTGTTTCTGAAATATTCGCATTCGAAATGTTATCATTAAATGTTTTTTTAAACTGTTAGAAATCAAGAAGCCTCAGACACCAAAATTTTTATTGAAAATAAATTTTTATAGTGACATTACGTCAATATGTCTTGTTAAATAAGTAAAAATGGCCTACTCAGACAGAGAAAGACAAACTATTTCAACTTATTATCTTAAAAATAATTTAAATATTTCAGAATTGAATTTAGTTGAATTTAGGTATATGGTATGTTATTTAAAATATGGTTAAAATTTTACAAGGAATTGAAAAATAAATACATATATAGGGTGATCCATTGAAAAAAAATAAACTTTTTGTTTTTCCCTGTATACTGATCAATTTTCCAATTTTCTTTATACGTAGAAAAAAGTATTTTTTAGTACCTTCGAAGGTAGTAAAAAATACTTTTTTGATCATAACCACACTTTGAAATTTTTTCGGACACTTAAAATAAAAAAGTTAAAGGGGGGCGACATTATAGGGGATCACCCTGTACATATAAAATACATAAAAAATTAAGTGAATTTCCTCAATTTGTTTTATTGTTTTTTCTAAAAAAGCAAACAAAATCATGTGCAGCATCGTACACGTGGTAGAAGTAAAACTTCTTATAAACCAGGGAATTTGAGAAATTTTTGTTGTGTGTGTGAGTGTGTGTGTAGGTGTGTGTGTAACAGAGAGAGAGAGACAGTATGTGTGTGTGTAAGAGAGAGAGAGAGAGAGACAGGGATAATTTCAAAAGAAATATAACAGTATAAAATTTTTGTAAAAAATATTTTTTCAATAATTTCATCTGAAATAAATTTATATCCTTGGCTTAAAAACAGAAGCGAATTTGCTTTCGGCACGCGCCTAAAGAGCGGCATGCTTTGAGCGCGCCACGCATTTGTCTTTTGTCGGCTTTACAGCGCGTTATTACAAATAAGCCGCATTATTATAAAATAATAAAAACAGTAGAATATTCGCTACTCTACCGTACTCTTAATTGTTTATTGTTTATTTGATTTATTTTTGGTAGAAATAAACCATTTGGTAACAATTTTTATTTTTTAAGTAATTTTGTGCTAAAATATCGTTTATTTCACAAAAATGTACATTTTCCAATAAACTCGACTTAAAAATAATAAAATTTGCAATTTTTTGTGGGGGGGACTTTGTAATAGTCCCGCCCGTTAAGCTTTAAATTATTAGTTTTTAAGGAATTAAACAGTCAATCACGATACCTAATTTTGCCAAATAAAAACCTTGTTAAACAGCTTTAGTTTAGAACTATTTATAAAAATCTGACATTGGTAATATAATAGAACAATATTATTTTGTAAATAAAAACACGGCAACTGTCCTATCCGTTAAGCGTGGAATGGCCCAAATGTTTAAAACCAAACGGCAGCAAGTTTTGTCGAAATGGTGTACAAAATACAACGGCGTGTAGTTAAAGATTTTAATTTCACAATAAAAAAGCAATTTTTTCTAATTTCTAAACTTGAGTAGGTATTTTTATAGTTTTTATACTTCATATTATTTTTGTTTGAATTTGAATATGAACACCAATCACCAAAAGTCCCAAGTTGGCTAAATTCGCCGTTTCGGTAAATTTTCGGTAGTAAATTCTTGGTTCATCGCAAAAATTTGGTATTTTAAGTAGGGTCATGACTGGGATGACCTTTATAATGTGTAATTTATAACTTTTTTACATATTTAACCTATTTTTGTCACTTCCGGTTTCACCGAAAATGGTATTTTTGTTTTTTAATGAAACCCCTATGCATTTTTACATATTTCATTTTAAAATAAAATTCTAAAAATATTATTAAATTTTATTTTGAGTGCCTTGAATTGGCTTTTCTGCTTCAAGTTGGGCCAAGTAGTCTGAAAAAAATACAATTTTATTCTTTTTTTGCAATGATGGTTTTTATACAGGGTGTTATGTTATATATTAAAATACGTTATATATTAAAATACTGAATACCTTTTTGTACATATATATGAGTTTTCAAAAATTTAAAAACCATAAGGTAAGTATATACTGTCTGTCCACTCTAAGTTGGCTGAACTAAGGAATTTTGTTGTTTAGATATTAAAGAATTGTCGTACTGTGTGCTTTTAAAACAGATTTTATATTATAAATAATACTAGTATATAATATGTACTAGTATTATTTATAATATAAAATCTGTTTTAAAAGCACACAGTACGACAATTCTTTAATATCTAAACTACAACATTCCTTAGTTCCGCCAACTTAGAGTGGACAGACAGTACTTACTTATAAATTGTATTTTTTTCAGTAATATTACTTTATGCCAAAACTATTTTTTTTTAACAAAAAAGGGTGGTATGTTGGTCATAAAAAAAATCCACTTTTTTTAAATTTGATACAAAATATTAATGCATTTTTTAATAATATCGCTTTTAATTAAATTTGAATGTTTATTATGTTTTAAAGAAGTATCAGATTTGACAGTTCGACCAGTGAATTTTCACATTCTATTTTACCATGAAAACATAACAATTGAGGTGGTTAGAATCAAAAGGGTGTAAGTAATTGCTCAACATTTTTTGGTTATTAATTTACTAAATAAAATCATTCAAATATTTTAAAAAGATTACTAAATATTATTTAAATATTTTAAAAGTTATATCTAACCGCTTCATATTGTGGCTATTGTAAGGAATCTTTGGCAATAAATAAAAAAACAAAATATGAAATCAAATAAAAATTTGTTATTTCTAAACCTAATTAACCTGCCTCACTCATATCTGTGAATTAACTTACTTAAAGGAATTTCCGGTGAAACCAGACCAGACCAGACCAGACCAGACTAAAATATGTTAAAAATGTCAAAAAGTTCTAAATTACACTTTATAAATGTTACCTCAGTTTCATGACCCTAGATAAAATTCCAAATGTTTGCGATAAACCATGAATTTACAAGAAAATGGCATTTTCATTAAAAAAATAATAATTCCGAAACGACGAATTTATCTCGGGACTTTTGGTAAAAGTTGTTCATATTATCTACTTTAAACGAAAAAAATATGAATAAAAAAGGCAATGTCAAAATTTTGACCTCATTTTTGTTTGTTTTTTGTAGAAAATTGAGTGAATTCACTTAAATTTTTATATTTTTTGTATGTAGTAAACATTAACCCACAATTTAAAAAAGTTGTAATGATTGAAACATTTTTGGCCAAGTAAAAAGAGAAAAATCGATGTTTCTGTCCATTTTTTTAAAATTTCCCACGGGTGAACAAAACAAATTTAAGGACAAAAAAATGCGGGTCTCATCAGTTTCGGTAGAGAAACTATAAAAAAAAATCATTGAAAAATAACGACCTACCCCTTTTTGCCGATTTGAGATGAAAAGACCCTATTATGTATATTAAAATATAAACAAGTATGTTCTGTTACTTACATTCTGTGACAGGCAGTGGCAGCAGCTACGTTTAGTAATGGATAGACGTACATGATGAATCTTAGTTCTTTGTGTGGCAACACCGAGTAGACAAGGACAAACAATAATGCTGGTACCACCAGCCTTCTTACTCTTTCATCCAAGAAAAATCCTATAGGGACCAAGAGAAGGGATGCAGCCATTCCCCTGGGAATTGCTGAATAGAAGTACCACAGAAATGGAGAAGTCTAAATATTGAAAAATATATTATTTAAGAACCGAAAATATGTGACCTGAAAAGGAGACAATGCCAATAAATTTGTTTCTGTGCCTTAATAACGCTGGTCAACCAAAATAGTACAAATGTCATAACCCAGCAAACAATAAATCGTCGGCCGATGATCGGATAATTGTTGGCAATTGATTTAGTCCATATATCGGCTAAACAACGCCGGTAATACATCGAAGAAACATTGTTTTTGATTAGTCGTTTTTCGGAATAACATCGAATGTTAAATCGGACAAAAATTGGTCATGTGAAAATAGAAATTGACGGCTAAAATTTATTTTGCGTTAAATTCAGATTTTTAAAGGAATTTTTAGCAATATCAACAAGAGGTGATTGGGCACAATGATGGTCAAGTTTGAATTCAGCATGCCCAAATTACAAGACATTTTTTTTCTTAGGATCATGCCTTTGTCAATTTTTAATTTTAGGTCCATATATTTAATATTTTACTTACTCCATAGTCCGAACTCCTATTCAAAATAGCATTAAACCATAATACTTCTCCTTCAGGCCAGAGTGGTCTGTTCCAAAAGATAGAATCGATAACGACTGATAAACCTAAAAACCCTATTCCTCCTGGGACTGCAATTTGTAGCAATCTAAAACAATTGACGTTATATAATGAACAAAAAAGTCTAAATTCTTACTGACCTACCGTTTTAAAGTAATTCTTTTGTGGTACAAATCGTATAACAGTAAAATTCCAAAAAGCATCACCAATTCGGACCGAAATATTATTATGCTTGCCCCGGCAAAGAGTACGAATTTTTTTTGCGAGTTGTTTATCCAACCATCCAGAGCCAATAAAACTACGAAAATAATTTAAAACACTTAACAATGTGTTAAAATATAATATTTTTACCTAGGGGTAGTACAAATGTATTGGGCAGTGGTCGACTGAGATAAAACATAAAATGGCTTTGTGTTACCGTAATGGCAGTAAACCATAATAACCATCGCGTTCCGAATTGTTTTTCCAACGTTTTACTTAAAATACTAAAACTTGTTATAACACATGTTGCTAATATTGTTCTAACTAAAAATATATACTTTTATTGCTTGATCTAATTACCTAACCAACCAATATACTCCAAAGTGTTTCAGAATTTGAAATAAGTTGGTTATATCCAAATCCAATTTTAATATGTAGTGTTTATTGTCTATATCAACTTCTCTGTTTTTTAATGTAGATTTTTTTTACTAGAATTTTTAAAAACATCCAAATTGTAAATTGTCACGTTCAATTTTATTTATATATATGTATATACTTTAATAATTTTACAATAATAATAATTATTCATATAATTAAGTTATTATAATTTGTAACTTAAGTAATTACTATGTATCCACAGAACATAAGATGGATAGCTTTTATCAAAAAGGAACCAAGCGCCAAAAACTTTTTCTGGGGTAAACAAAATTATTTGCAAAATAACTCATTTTTAATGCTGCTCAAAAAATTAAATAAACCCTCTCAAAAATAATAATAATAAATAATAATTATCGAAAAAAACCAAGCGCAAAAAACAATTATTGTTATCCAGATTAAACTGACATTTTTAAGATGAAGTTATATATGGCTTGTCAACAGTTATAATGTATACATTGACATTCATAAAACAGTTGTATAGGTAGGTACAGTCACAATCCACACAACAAGGTCTGTTCTATCTTGTACTAAAAATACTAAAAATCACTGTAACACTGCACAGAGTTTAACGGCGGCCATTTTTGTTGTTTACAATTTTTGTGCTTTGGGATTGCTATGTTTATACAGATTAATAATCGTTTTAAACGTTGTGTATTTTACAGAGACACTAGTAAGCCTTAAAAGACGCCTTAAAGTGTTAAGAACAACCATTTTACTCCTTTATTGTAAAAAATAAACCTTATTCTATCAGGGCTGTCATCAAACAGCCCTGATAGAATATGGTTGTCCTTGGCACTTAAAGACCTTATTTGAGTGCCTCTGTAAAAAAACAACGTTTAAAACAATTATTAAACAGCACAAACCCAAAGCACAAGAATTGTAAACAAAAATGGCCGCCGTTAAACTCTGTGCAGTGTTGCAGTGATTTTTAGTATTTTTAGCATGAGATAGAACAGACCTTGTTGTGTGGATTGTGGGTACAGTAAACATTTATCTTAAGACAGTTGTATTATTATTAGGGCTGTACAATTTAGCCGGTTAAGCCGGCTAAAAAAGTTAAGTAGCTAACTGATCAGCTTAGCTAATTTAACCGGTTAACTAAATTAGGTTATCTAATTCAGTTAAATTAGCTAAGCTGATCAGTTAGCTAGCTAATTATCTTAGCTAATTTTTTAGCCAGTTTAACCGGCTAAATTGTACAGCCCTAATTATTATAAACATATTAAGACAGTTCTAGCTGAAGTTGGCATTTTTAAGACAGTTATTGGATAGTTAGATACCTATAGAGGTTAAGTTTACATAAAACTAGATATCTCTTTAAAAAAATGTTAACAAGCTGTATACAACTGTCATATCTAGTTTAAGTTGACATTCTTAAAGTGTTTTAGTTAACAATCTTCCTAAGGGCAGGTTTATCAATCTCTGGTTAAGTTCCAGTTAAGGCGGGTTTATACAACAATTAATAATTTAGTGAACAATTTATTTCATAACTCAATTGTTAATTTAATGCATAATTTAATACACAATACATAACTTTAAAATCTGGTTTATACAATTCATTAATTTAATATATATTTTATTTTTTTAAACAACAATATTGAGAATTAAAAGTTCTAATAACACAAAATCCCTCTTTAAAACTCGTGTTTTGTAGGAACTTTGTAGTATTTTTTAAGGCACAAACACAAAGCACAATAATTATTAATTATAACCTTAAAAAATGGAGAGAGAAAAATTGTTGTTAAATGCGCTGTTCAATCTTATTTATAATTTATTTCATAAAAGTTAAATTTTATGAACTTTCAAGGTTATTCAATAAACACTAAATTGTGAGTTACAAATTAAATCATTGTATAAACTGTTTCATAGCAGATAGTACGATTTAACTTTTATGCTTATGCACTAAATTGTCAATTATTAAATAAATTAATGATATGAAGTTGTATAAACCTGCCATTAGTCTATCTGACAGTTGAATTTCATATCGATAGTAGTGAGAACAATGGTATCCATGGAAATTATCCACCAGATAACTGCAACTTTAACTGTACATTGATAAACCGGCCTTAATATAGTTATCTAGCCTAAGTTATTAATCTGCAGCCTAAGTTGACATTTTTGAGACTGTTCACAGTTATCTAGACTTAAGCTAGCTTAGTTGTGTTTAAATTGTGAAGTATACTATTTACAACAAAATGGATGATATTCTACCAAATTCTGAAACACCCTGTATCGATATACCTATATATTGAGCCCAAAACTTGTTAATATCCAATAACTTTAAAAGGAAAATGAATGGGGAGGAGAGGATCGATACAAACAAAGGCCCAATGAATGTTCTTGGGACAACACCGGGAAAATCGTGATGGTCGTACTAAAAAAACGCACATAAATAAACAAAATATTATTTACAAACACACACTCACCTGTGTTAAGTTAAATCTATGGTATAAAATATCATGCATAGCCTGCAAATTGAAACTTTCCTCCACTTTCGTAAAAGGACAGTACACCAGATGTGCAAGTGCTATTATAAGCATTAATTGTGACATTTTCATTCAATATTTACTATCTTTTTATTTGCATAATTAAAATTAGCCTATTTGCACTAAAATAGAATAACCTAACCTAAAACTCCCGAGTTGACGTAAATCAGCACATCGTATATAAAAAACACCTGCTGACGTAACAGTTGTCATCAACAGTAGAGATGGGAGTGGGAATTAAATAAAAAGTGTTTAAAATTGCCGTAAAAGGAATTTTTGTAAAGGATTTTAAATAAAACAAATTATTAAATAACTCTTTCATAACATTTATTAAAATAGGGTAAATGTATGCCACGTTTTTTATTTAAAAATTATATTTTTAAGGTTGTTTTCAAATTTAAATCATGTATTAACGTATATACGTTATATAAATTAACTTTTTGACTTTTAAAAATAGATTTTAAAATTATATTATGTTTTATTTTAAGAAAATACTATTCCACTCAAAATAAACTTGGATAATTATAATATGATGTAATTAATAAATATCTATGCACATGTTAGTTTTTTTGTTCGAGTACAGTTTTCTAAAAATAAGATTTTTATTGTTAAGGTCACACATTACATATAATTTTAAATTGAACGAGACAAAATCTATTTAAAAATAAAATTTGGGTTTTGCATCATAATTTTAAATTTGATATTTCTATGTCACAACCAATTTAAAAATGTATTTGATAATTGCGTAATAAAAATATTATTTATAAAATCTTACCATCCATTTCCAAAATATATCCTCCTTCCGTTTCCACAAAACATATTGTTCGAGAATTTCAAAAATTCTATCGGTTTTCTCTATGAATTGTTTACAGTATTTTTTACTAATGAAGGCAATTAGTCTATTTAAGGATAAATCTTCGAATTTTAAGGGTAAATCGGTTTTTAGCTAAAAAAATTATTTTTCGTCAGCTAATAAAAATTAATTATTATTGGATTTTTTAAAAATGTTTAACTACCTACATAAAGTTTAAAAAAATTGTTTGCACTTTAGATTTGTACATACATATGTACGTAAAATCAGTTCCAATATTGGTCCAATTGGTATGTGAATTTAGTTCTATCAATCCGTAGTAAGGCTCTAAAAAGGTGCTTAACGTGATTAATACAGGATAATGCACCTCTATTTACCAGCAGAGTTGCCAAAATTTGTTTGGAATTGGAAAGTGTTTATTCTCAGATAAATTCACATTTTTTGTTATTTGTTTTTAATATTTTGGTTTGGTTATAACCTATAGGATAATGTGCTTTTTATTTTCAATTAATTTTTTTCAAAGTAAAATATTATATTTCGTAATTACTGCATGATTCGGAATCACTGATTCCATAAAAGATTGGTTGGGTAGGGAAAATATATCTATTGGGAATTACCAATAAAATACGATTAGTATCTATCGGTCTGTATTGGGATTTTCCAGCGGCAGCTCTATTGGTTTGAATTGGTCTCAATAGTGGTATATACCAGATATCTGTACCATGAATTACCAATTCAAACCAATAGCGACACCGCTGGAAAATCCCAATACAGACCGATAGAGACTAATCGTATTTTATTGGTAATTCCCAATAGATATATTATAGATATATTTTATTGGTAATTCCCAATAGAGCTATTTGGATTTTCCAGAGGTACCGCTATTGGCACAGAACATAAGTCCCCACTATCCATTTTAGACGTCTTTAAGGTAAAAAATTACGTGTTTTGATGGTTAAATAATTTCTCAAAAATAGTGCTGTTTAATTAACATTTAATTTAAATTTTATAAATAGCTTCTGCTAAAAGTAAGTAGTGTCACACTACTAGTGTGGCCCACTGCTTACTTTTCGCAGAGTGGGCCACAGGACGACCTGTGCCCCATTAAAAATTTCAAAACGCCAGGCGTTTCCATGACCAGTAATTTTGCCTTAGTAAGGAATCCTTACTCAGTAGCTCAAGGCATTCCACCTTTATATAGGCCTATGTATTGTGCTACAGAGGCGAGAGGTATGCATGGGTTGCCTACCTATTGGCGAATTTTGAAAATAAATATTAAAGTGGTATATACCATGGTATTGCAATAGGGTTCCTTGTACCTACACACCGATAAAATGCCAATTTAGACCATTAGTTTATCTATTGGTATTTTCCAGTAAGAAAATTGCCAATAGAAACAAGTGGTCATTTGTATTAAATTGCGCAGGCGCTGAACATTTAAGTGGTATTTACCAATTGAATTTCAATTGGGAATTTCCTGTACTTGTAACTTCTTATAATTCCAGTAATTACCAATAGAAACCAATGCTCATTCTGTTGAGAAACCAATAGGCCCAATAAAGACCAATTCATTTCATTCTGATTTTTTATTGTTCTATTGGTCTCTATGGGTGATTTTTAACAGGGATATGAATCTTAAGATTAATTATGTGATATAACAAAAATAAGTTTTTCTTATTAAAATACTTTTAAATGAAAAATGATTGCAATTTATTTTAAAATGTTCGGTAATGTTTTTTAAAATTGTAATTATATTATATTATTTGCTTTTCTACAAGGCTGCTAAATTTTACAGGTATTTTATACAACCCGTAAAACATTACAGGTCTGTTCCCATAATTTATTATTTACTTGGTTACAAAAACAACAAAATTAAGAAGGTATAAATAATAGTTATTTACCCGATTAAATTTAAATTAAAAAAGTGATGATAAAAATTTTCTTAAAATACTTATATTAACTAATGTAACACTAGTGTAAAATTATTATTTTTGACATAAACGAGTTTTGGTATTTGTTTAAAATCTGTGGCATGCGTTGGTATCTGCAGATAAAAAAGCGCTTGTCGCAGGGTTTAAAAAAATATTCCCGGCGCATTCGCCATTTTTGTAAGTAACCATATCTAATCTATTATTTGTTTAATAAATTATTATAAAGGATTTTCCAATAGGTACTATTTGTTTTGTTTCTATTTTAAAAATAACGACTATATTTATAACAACATAAAGAGGGCACATGGCAGTTATGTTTTAAAAATAATGTTGACTTGGTATTTCTCAAAATTTGACCGTGTTATTTCTGGATATGGCTACATTAACTGGTAGGCATGTTAATTATTTAAATTTAAAGGCATTCAAAAATTACCTACCTTATCTACCAATGTTTTATTTTGAACGTCATACTCCTCAATTTGCTTAACACTCTGACCCAATTTCCCCTTAACCCACATTAAATACTGCTTACAATCATTCTCAGATGTAAGATGTGATAAAACAACTTTCTCCTCATCATCACAAATATCATCATTGACACCGAGAAAATCATAATCGGGGTTCAAGGGACAATTTTCTATCTCAACCTTAACAAAATCATCGATTTTTTCGTTTAGAATGAAAGATATTGCCAATAGAACTTCTTTGCTACCTTTGGACATGTTTTCTGGTAAGTTTTGGAAATTTTCACGGGGGTATTTTAGGGAGGTCATGTAATATTTTATGGAGGGTATATTTGTGTAAGTATTATTGGTAAGTTTGCCAAGTATAAACCATAATATTGCTACCTATAAATTATATATTAAAAATTTAAAATAAAGAATCATGGATAAAGTTGGACTTTGACATAGTCATTATTATGTTGGTAAGTCCACAATTAAAATTTTGGCGCATTCACCATTTTTGAAACTTACCACATTTTTCGTACCTTTATCGAATTTAGCCAATCGAAAATGCTCAGGTTCTACCTTAGTTTCCAATAACAAATTTAACAGTTTGCTCAGTAAACCAAGGGTATATTTTATTTCAGACATACTCTAAAATAAGTAAGGGTATTTCAATGCAAAGAACATATAACATCCAAATATACGCCATTTTATTATAGCTCTAACAAAAAATCCAAAAGTATAATACAAAACGCTAGATATATTAACTACTTACAATTTTTACACAATAAATCATTGGTTTATTAAAAACTATTTTAAATTAAACGTTTATTATATAAATGGCTTCTTCTATTTTACTGGGTATTGCTATAAGTAATTACAAGTGGATTTCATAGAGGGAAACATACAGTAGGTACCAAAACCTATCAGCAAAAAATAACCGATAGAAAGTTTTATTTGCCATAGTCCATTCACAAAATGAAAAACTTTGAGATATATTTTTATAGTTGTGTTCTTAACCCACACTTTTTTAGATTCGGAATAGACTAATCTTATAAAACTTTTTGCTGAAATAGTTTTTAGTTACTTAGATGAAAAATCTATATGGAACTCTTATTTTTATTTTTTTTTCTTTAAATAATTCTGTATGTTTTAACCTCGATTAGAGTTAGTTCAGTAGGCAAAGTGTTGTGACTAACATTTTACTAAAAATAATAAAAAATATAAATCAATTTTTTCACAAAACAGGCACGTTTTCAAAAACTAGATGTTTATCACAGATAGATAGAAAAAATCTTAACATGTCTAAGTAAATTATTAAAAATTTAGTTGCTGTCGCCGAGTATTGATTTAAAATTATTGGGGATTGTATCATGTAATCTATAAAGTTGAGCATTAAAGTTAAAAATAAACCATAAACCTATATTAGATGAAAATATTGGTTTAAAGTTTATTTGTGACTTTACTGCATAATTTAAATAATTTCTATAATTATTAACAATATTTTTTCTAATCTACACAATACTGCACAAACAATAAAAATATTTAATTGAATTTTACTAAAATTGATATGGAGTGATATTGTAAGTTTCATAGACAGTCTCTTATTCAATTCCTACAAACCTTGATTGTTTATCCTCGATTTTCAATTGTTAAACCATACATTATCCAAACAAGCAATACAACTTCACTGAATAAGGTATATTTTATCATTGAAAACTGCGCTTTTCACATTCTGTGATACATTAAAAAATAATCATTTTAACAAACAAAAAATCTAACTAATAAAAATCACTTACCCCCTCTTTATTTATTAGTCTTGTTTATTTATTTTGTACAGTAAATTTCTTTTATCAAACACAATTAAAATTTATTATTGTTCAATAAATGTGCAGTACCAAATTATAGGTTTTTAAATCGTGCCTGTTTTTATAAGTTTTTTTTAATTCTCACTAAAAATTAATGTAAAATATAAAGTGTAGTTTGCTTATGGTGTACTCTCAAAAACACAAGGTTTTTATAATACAACATTCGCACAGCCTTTTGAACAAATTTTCTCTATTAAACTATTTTTATTTAACAATTAATTTAAAGCCCGAGTTAATTATATTTAATATTTATATTATCTATGTATTACTCAATATTGAGCATTTTGTAAAAATATTATTTAGGTAGGTATATTCTAAAGGACCTTAAAATTGCTCAAAAGCTTTATTACCTAAAGTTGCTAATTATATTATTAACTTAGTTTTTCTATAAAACAGCAACTAAAATTAAAACAAATGTTAAACTTTCAAGAATTACTAACACGTCTGTATTATTCATACACGATTTTATACTTACAAGTATTTCTAAATTTTTCTTTTATTTGGTATACTCCTATTCAGTCATTTATATTTGACATTGTCAAAAGAAATAAGTAACATTTTAGTCCCTGTATATGTTTTGCCTTTTTTGTTAAATCTAGCAAAAAGCGTCAAAAATAAACAGGGGTTAGTAAAAATAAACTTAAGTTTGAAAATGTTCATGAAACTTAAAAAATCTTGTTGTTTACCTTAAATTTAAGATAGGTATAAGTAAATCCTGTTAAAAAAGTAGAGGAAATTTTCCATTTAAAAACGCCGCGTTTAAAATATTTAAATAAAAACAATTATGCATTTGTATCGTTAATATTATATATAGGGATTATTATTATTAATATTATTGAAATTTAAATATTTTTAACGCTGATTGTTTAATTCCTGGTAGTTTTTTGACAAAATATATTAAAGAAAAAAATACACATTCATGAATTTAATATACAGAGTGCCCGATTTAAGACCAACACCCCATTATTTTGGAAGGCGTTGGCCGATTTTAATTATTTTTTTAACCATGTCGAAATTTTTAAAATTTTTAAGGCCGGTGTTGCGGTCTTAAATTGCACACACTGTATTTTTATTTTTTTCAAATTAACAGTTGTGCGTTAAAAACCAACAAATATTTACCTCGAAAACAAAATATCTTGTTTTAAAGAGTACACCTTACATTTTTAATTAATAACTCAGGGTTAACAATCATCTAAAATAAAAATAAAGGTTTATTTACAAAAACATAGAAATGGCGACGGGTTATGCAACAATGAGCATAAATACATTACACTGGAGAACAGGAAAGATTTCTATAACATACTTTAAAATTCCTCATGTTCAATTTTTTGATAATCACATGTATATTTTATTCATACATATGTGTGTATCAAAATTTTCTAAAATAAAGAGAGATCCTTAATTTCCGGTACCTTTTTCTTGTGTCTCAGTGTAATGTGATAGTAGTTTTAATATTTGTGTAATAGATTTAGAAGTTATCCGACATTTGTTTAGATTGATATAAGATGAAGATATCACTTTCATAATTTATTATTTTTTTATTTATTTCTGTTATGTTTTATTTTTGTTTCTTAAATTTTTTTATAATTTATTACTATCACGCGACAGTATAGTCTACGATATAGATTGTAAATACGTGTTTTTGGTTTTGATGATTCCTTTAAAGTTGATTACATTACTGAGACTGATTTAAAATGGGGAGTTTATTTTTTAACAATTTATGTAAAATATTTAAAATCATCGAAAAATACCAAAACAAAAATATTAAAAATATCTTGCGAGGGTGTGTTTAATAAAAACGAGTTTCAAAATAGTTTATACGACGAACACAAAAATTAAATATTTTTTAAACTTAAATAAAATCTGACATCTGTCAATCTGTTTACTTCCACTTTCCACAACTTGCAACTAACTTCAGCCCGTTACTAAAACGCCATAAAGTCACAGCTTGTCAATGTGTTATTAAAATAATGGAATCCTGTACGATAATAGCCGTTTTAAAAGTGGAAGTAGAAAAAATAATTAAAATTACAATAATTTAATTTTTAAGAAAATCGGTTTAAAATTATTAAAATTCATATATTTTCATGGAAAATCCAGGAAAGCATGAATTTTATAATAATAAACAAAGGTATTTTTTTAATGAAACATTATTAGGTATTAACGACGTTATATTAAAAAAAAATAATAAGGATATTTCATTGAAAAAAATATTTTAAAAACTTATGATGATGTTTTCCTTAATTTTTTATTGATTAAGGTTAAGTTTTCTATAATATTTATTTTTAATATGTTTTTATTTCCACCCTTAAATATTATTTTTGTTATCATCTTTTCTGTATGTGATTTTTAAAACACAACTATTATCTTTATTAGGTACCTTAATTATTAAATAAATCTTATTGTCTCAAATAGTGTAATCGTTAAATGTAATCAATACAATGTATATGTCAAATACGTTAAAGGATCACCTTTACCCATTGATGACAACTTAAAACATTACATATCATCACGGAAATACTATAGTACACCGTGACTACATTACATTATATCTCTTAACTCGTAATTGTCACGTCACGTCACGTCATGGCTCGGAGTTCGGCGTATTGCATTTGTCCCTCTTTCTCAACCTACATCTTATCAACAACAACATTCCAAATAATCCAAATTCACTTATTATTTGCGCGCACAAATTCGAAAACTTACACGTACCACTCTTTGATGTCTTTGCTGTCGCGTTTCTTCTTCTGGCCGGCGGCGGCGCCACCTGCGCCGTTGTTGCCTTGGCCGTTTCGCAGCGCGCCGTTCACCTGGTACGGCGAGCTGCCGTTGGTGGCGCTGCCACCCGCGTGACCGAGCAGCGCCGCCTGCGGGCCTTGCTGGAACGACTTGCTGTCGTCAACTTTGAAGCGGTCGGCACGCGACCTGAATTTCAGGATCACGAGGATGATGAGGATGATTGCTATGAGGGCGCCTGCGATGATGCCTGAAAGATTCATATAAAAATTGATTTAAGAATAAGTACAATTTATGGTATTATAAAATAATTTAAAGAAATGTTTTAGAAATAAATATTTGAAGGCGCAAGTGGATAAAGGGGTTAAGTAACATTTTGAAAAGTAAAGATTGCAACAAAAAAATACTTCAATTTACAATCCCAATATGGTCTATTTTTTTTTATTTAAATGACGCATAACACCTCCAAACTAATTTTTTTTTTTGTAAATAAATATAAACTTGGTTTAGCAATTATAATATTTTTTGACCTTAATTATTAAAAATGTAATATCCTTTTCATACACTTGCCCCTTCAATTGTTAAACCAAAATTTACATTAAAATTATTACACCATAACTCAAGCATAAACTGTTTTATTTATTTTTTTTAACTTTAAATCAGGGACCGGACCGTTTTTGGACAGAAAACCGGACCGGAACCTGTATTTATTTGTGGACCGGAACCGTAACCGAACCCATATTATTATTAAACGTAACGCTAGAGACCGAACCCTTTAAATTTAAAACGGGTTTTTAGGTTATTTTCGTTTTTTTTTAATTTCTTTTTGCAAAAATTTAAAAAAATATATTTTGTTTCGTAAAAAAAATCTATAAAATTAGTTTTTGCAAAAAAATATTTGAGCACGGGCTATAAATCTATAAATTATACACTCTAGCACAAGTATTATTAGGGATTCCTGCTGTGTTAATAACAATTGTAAATGCTGTATAAATAATTATTGTAAATGTAAATTAAAATAACTTTATTGGAAAAAGAAAGATGTCGTATGTATACACATATATTATATAGTACTAGGCAACACTGTAATTAATAAACCCCCACTACAAAATATCCCACCCACTGCGCCATAAAGTAAATAATACCAGAGTAGGTTAAAGACTGAATTATTAAAATGAATAGCATGGGTGGTAGGTACATTTGTAGAGGGGATTTATTAATTACAGTGTTGCCTAGTATTATGTATAATACATCTGCAACACAAGTAAGTAAGCGTTAAAAGGCTGTTTTCCGGTCACAAATTTTTACTTCCCTAGAGGAACAATTATTTGTGAGAACCAACATAATTTTGGAGAAAAAGAACAACAAAAGTTTAAAGTTCAGTTTTTTTTATTTTTGGATAACTTATTTTAAATATGAATTTTCCAGTTTTTCAATCGCAAGATCAGGATAAAAGTAAAGAAAAAGAGCCTTAAATTGAAGAACCTGATTAGAAAAAAAGAGTAGACAAAGTAATTTAATTACATGCAAAAAAAAATTACAAAACTATACATTTTTATTTTATAATTTTACTTATTTATACCTACATGGTAAAAAAATTGGAACCGAAAAAAACCGTATGAACCGAAAAGATTGGTCCGAACCGGACATAAATATTTTTTTGTAACCGTAACTGAACCCGTTACGCGTAACGGGTTCAGTTACGGTTATACGGTTATTTCATTTGGGTCCGGGTCCCTGCTTTTAATAATTATACTAATAATAATAATAATAATAATTTATTGTCCAACAGTACAAATAACCAATTATAGGACAATTTATAACACATACAGTAATATTACATATTAACAAAGTGCAACACATAAAATATATAATAAAATATAGTAAATATAATAAATATAACCTATTTGACAAAATTAAAGATTGATTCTATTCACAATATTATTTATTGAGGAATAATTAATAGCAGGAGAACCATTTAACATGTTAAAATTTCTACACATAATATAAATAGGAGATTTTTTAAGAATATTAGTACGACATCTACCTACATCAATAAAAAGTTGGACAGGTACGGGTACCCTGTCTTGGGACATAAAGATTAATTCTACTCAATAAAATATCACAGTCGATATTATTATGTAATAAATTATAAAGAAAAGATAACGAACTATTAACTCTTCTAGTTTCTAATGATAAGAAATCATATCTGTCAAGCAGTGTTTCATGACTATAACCCATAACTGGGTAGATACCAGTTATTTTATAATTAAGATATTTTTAAAAATTTCTATTAATTGATTCCAATTGCTTGTTGTAGATATTATATATAGGATACCAAATTATCGAGCAATATTCTAGCCCACCAAGTAACTATAATAAAAAATACTAATATTTATTGGATTCCAGTAGTATAAATATTGAATTGTGAATGTTTTTCTTATGAAATTAAAAAAAATCACCGTAAAAACCAAGGAGTAAATCCGTTTCGCAATCTTAAACAAAAAATGCAGTTTTGTACACTGAGAAAAAAGTTTATTGCTCCCAAATAAAAAAAATATTTAAATATGGGACAAGGGTACAGTTTATTTATCCTAAATATATTTTTATTCCCGACACAAGTTTTACTAAAGTATATTTATCGTTATTATTTCGACTATTTAGAGGTAATAAACAATATATTCACTATTAATAAAAGTATTAGCTACACAGTTTATTTGTCCCATTTTTTTCTCAGTGTACGTATCGCTTAACATTCAATAGTGTTGAAAATCCTCTTAAAAATACCTAGAGCTCAACTTAGCAGTGAAATTCATTTGCAAATAATCTTTCTTCTTGAAGAAGGTGTCACATCGACGAATAGCTGATAGATTAGGCTGTGACCATAGTACGGTTACTCAGGTTCTGTGGAAAGTAGACATCGAAGTGGGCGTCCAAAGGTTACAACTCAAAGGAAAGACCGATATTTAAGTGAAGTAACTAGGAGAAACAAGTCCATCACGTTCTTCGAATGCAGTACCAGACCCATTTCTAATACCACCATCAGAAGACGCGTCATTGCATTGCATCGGGTTTTCTTTGTGAAAGACCATTACGAGTGCCTAGACATAGACAGTCGCGGTTAGAATGGGCTCAAGATCATCAAAAATGGTTATTGCCTCAATGGTCAAATGTTCTGTTCTCAGATGAAACAAGGATTGGATTGGTCAGTGACGACTTTCAATGTCGCGTCTGAAGAGAACGGAGAGCAGCGACTCGCTTTTGCCAGAGAAATGGTACCTACCATTTGAAGGCAAAAGTTTTATAGTTATTGTATTAAAAGTATTAAACTTTGCGACAAACTCGCTAGATATATATATTAATTAATATTCTGCAAGCATTTCTCTTATCACCGCTTTTGTTTAATTTCGTTCAGGATCTCATGCCAGCATCGACAGACGCGTTTCGTTCTGTGGAACTCATCAGTGCCGAAGTTTTATGTTTTATGTGGAATCATGTATGGAAGAAAAACTCAACTGTCATGTTCCTGGCACTAGGACTGGACAAATTTACATGAATTTAATCATTCGGCCAATTAGGTATTCAACCAATTCGAGATAGAGTAGGTCCCAATTTCATCTTTATGGGTGAAAATACCCGACCACATCGAACTAGAGCTATCCTAGAGTTTCTGCGAGAGGGTGAAATTAAAAGAATGGATTGGCAACCTCTTTCTCCAGACATGAATCCCATGGAACACGTCTGGGAATATTTATCCAAATTGATTCGTTACCGTTTCAACCGTCCTATGAATGTTCAAGAGCTTATTGTAGCCGCTGTTGAGGAATGGAATAACATTTGTCAATAAAAAAATGTCGCATTTTGTCTTTTTGTCCCCCTATATTTTAACTGGGTAAGTATCAATAAACTTTTTTATGTTATATATGTATTATTATGTAATATAATAAAAAAGTCAATTACCTAACAGAAAGAGGATAGTTTAGATAGAATTACAGTGGTACAAGAATTTTGAACTGAATGTATAAAATACTCTAAAAACAATTTAAAAAAATAATAATGATTTACAAAAGTACAAATTCAAAATAAATAAATTTATAAATTATTGTTTATTACTCCCGGCGCATTCGCCATTTTATATATAAATTCCATAGCCATCTTAAAACTTTTTAAAATAAAATACAAGGTGTTTAGAAACCAAAATGTATAATCATGTCTAGAATAAAGGACATGTTTTTTAAAATGAACAAATATACATATATAATTATAATGTCAATAAAAACTTAGATTTAAAATTTCAAATTCAAAGTATTGCTTTCGAAATTTTGAGTAAAATAAATAATAATTATGAATAATAACTTTGTATAATTCAGAGACTTTTATATATAAAATCAAAGAAAATACCACTTTACCAACAGCCTTTTAAACTGTAATTTAGAGAAAAAATCATTTTAGGACAAGCAGGCCGAGACTGCAGACAATAAAAGTCGTACTAATATTTTTTTTGGTATAGTAGGTACTTTATTTGGTGTATATCTTAGCGCCAATCCGTATCATTAAATATTATAAAGGTTGCAAACAAATTTTAAATATTAAACAAATAATTTTGAAATATAAAAAATAATAAATACTAATTATTTGGTAAAAAAGTTAAAATTTTTTCAAACCATTATGAATATTTTTTTGTAGGCCCATAAAAATTTTTACCATATAATATTTAATTTTGTGCAGTTTTTTCTATAACAATAATTGTTATAATTTTACTATAAAACACGCTTACCTATAATTAAGGCTACAATCTCCGACGTCTCCGAATTAATCCTTTCTGGCGGTCTCTTATTCTTGTTATTAAAGTTCGGATAAGTATTAATCGATGGGACATAATCAGGTAACGGAGGCCTTGCCTGTATCACAGTAGGCGGATCCGTAAATCTTTCCCGTGTCGCGGTCGTAGTGGTAGTGTCTTCCTCCGGGATAATCACTGGCGTCGTTTCACCTATATAAATATTTTTAAACCATCGTTTTCAAAATCAGAGGAAGTATTTCAAAAACAAATCTTCTTACCCTTTGTGGTGTGTTGGATTGATGTAGTAGTGCCTTCGGTTTGCCGTATCGGTGTGGTGGAGTGTGTGAGGTTGAATACGGTTTGAGTGGTGGTGTGATGCGTTGTGCTATGGGTGGTTGAGCCATCGCTGCCTTCGGTGGTTTTTGAGCTTGTGTTACCGCCAGCTGATGTTGTTACTGCGGTAGATTCTGAGGATGGATCTAAGAAGAGAGATAAGTAAGTAGTACTTACTAAAGGAATACATATTTAACAGAAATGCTATGACAGATTCTAATTTTGAATTTTAACCGTTATTCATTATCTATGATGTGATTTTAACAAATAACAACACAGGCCCACAATATAGAAAAAGTTGTATGTGCTAAGGAAAGAACCATACTTATTTAAGAAAAACCATAAACTGTTATAATTTATATACGAGGTGTGTTCAGAAAATAACGGGAATTGTTAAATTTCGCGGGTTCGGAGGGTCCGGTTGTCATAAAATTTTTTTTATTTTGTTGGTATACATGCCCCCGAAGTATGATAAAAACTTTAGCTGTTTTTATTGTTTACTTTGTCTGTGGCAGCCGCTAAGGTTAGACGTGTTTTATAAGCTCGGCGATTTTTCGTTCGTTAAAAGAAATGGATCAAAGAATTTGTATCCAATTTTGCTTGAAAAATGAAATAAATTCTGTGAAATGTTAACAAAGGCCTATACCTAGTGAGTCTGCTATAAGTAAAACAAGAGTTTACAATTGGTATAAGAGTTTCCAAGATGGCCGTGAAGACGTTGAAGATGACGAACGCTCCGAACGCACAAGCACATTAACAACCGATAAAAACATGGAAAAAGTGGAAGAAATGATTATAAACCATCAGAGAAGTCGCTGATGATGTTGGTATATCGATTGGCTCATCCCATGAAATTTTTTCGAGTGTTTTGTGTATGAAACGCGTGGCAGCAAAATTTGTTCTAAAATTGTTAAATTTTGAACAAGATTTTTGGCAAAAAACAATACTGTAATGATGCCCCAGCCTCCATATTCGCCAGGCATGCCTCTGTCTGACTTTTTCCTATTCCCAAAAATAAAGAGAACCTTAAAGGGCCGTCGTTTTGCAAGCATAGATGACATTAAAAGCGCATCGCTAAAAGAACTAAAGGCTATCCCAAAGATCGAGTTTTAGAAGTGTTTCGAGTATTCGAAGAAGAGCTGGCATATGTGCATAATACCCAATGGGGACTATTTTGAAGGCGACAACATTAATGTAGACGAATAAATAAATATTTGTTTCAAAAAACGAAAATTCTCGATATTTTCTGAACACACCTCGTACATATAAACACAATCCACACAAGGTTTGTTCTATCTCGTTTTGCGCAAACTAAAAATTACAAAGTTAGGCAACCGACTACACAGACTACACATATTCACACATAATTATAATTGTTTGAGTGAACACAGTGTCGTAGAAACGGGGGTTGCTTCAAGCTTATTGTCCCATACAAACTTTAAGTTTAGGTTTTTATAACATTTGATGCAATTTTTAGATTACACAGTTCGGCTAATATTAAAAAGGTGTCTCAAACTTCAATGAAATAAACCGTTTCCGAGATATTCGAAAGTACAATAATTGTTATATCGCATTATTTAAAAGGATTAAAAGGTATATAATGAAAAATTTAATTTTTGCCCTGACCATCACATTAAAAAAATTGTAGTTTTTTCAATTAAAAAATTTGTTATCATATACCTTCTAGACCTTTAATGCGATATAACAATTATTGTAATCTCGAATATCTCGGTAACGGTTTATTTTATAGAAGTTTGAGAGGTATACCTTTTTAATAGTAGCCGAACTAAGTAATCGAAAAATTGCATCAAATGGTATAAAAACCTAACCTCAAAGTTTGTATGGGACAATAAGCTTAAGCAACCCCTGTTTCTACGAAACTGTATTCACTAGAACAATTGTAATTATGTGTGAATATGTGTTTTGGTAGCAAGTGACTGTTCGCAAAATATCACCTTTCCAAGACTACCATAGTAGAGGTTATAATAAAAAAAACTTCTATGATAAGTAACACTTTATCACCCTGTATCTTTTAAACATACGTAATTAAGAAAAATATTTATTTAGATTTTCGTCTTACTGCTCCTAAATTTTTGCCACTAAGTTTAGGGACACCTTGTATAATGGACTCAAAGTTATCATCAATTGAGAATAACTTTGACTTAAGTCTCTTACCAGTAACTTTGGGCGTTCCAGTAGTTTCCTCGGTAACCTCACCGGACCCACTTCCAGGGAAACAATCCTCATCATCACAAGGCTTACCGCCCTCTGGCGGCAACTTTTTGGGCGGTTTGGCCGTCGGCGCAGGCTTAGTAGGCGGCACGTAAACCGGAGTAATCAAATCGTCATCCCCGGAACCGGATTCCGGAAGCGGCGGACACTCGTCCTCGTCGTCGCCGTTACAACCGGAACCTGCCCCGCTGAAGACCAGGTCGTCTTCGAGGCCCGGAAAACCGCTGGCAGGCGTCTGCAAAAAGGGCTTATTTTGAACCTAATTTTATTCTATGCGAGCTGAATATCTATTTCAGGGATGATTTTTATAAAATTTTGCTACAATATTAAAATGTTGTATTAGGTGAGTGTCTTAGAAAATCGACGTCGCATCATCTTATTTGATAGTGTGGTGTTTAATGTATAAATATAATTAGGGTTGGAAAAATTTCACTTTTTGCTTGTACTTGAAATTTCACTTAATATTTTCATGACATTTATGAAATTTATTAAAATTTCCTAAATTTCTGAAATTTATTGAAACTTTCAATAAATTTCAATCACTTTAAGTTTAGTATATTATTTATATTGAAATAAGCCCACTCGGGGACCATGGCAAATTGCCTCTCTTACCTCCTACCCCTCTGTGGGCTCCTGACCACCAATAATATAAATAGTAAATACCTATGTTTACCACAAATTTCTTCAGATTTCTTTTTAAAATATTTTTAAAATTACTAAGATAGATATAGCACTTTTTGGTAAGCTAACGAGATTGTGCCACTTTCATTGTTTTATATTTATATATGTTACGGCTAATGTGCAAACTTGGATAGTTTATAAACTAGCCAAACTGTCAGCTATTTTAATTGAAAATGTATTTTCAACTAAATTAGCGGCTAGTTTACAAAATAACCAAGGATCTTGGCTAATTTACTTGAAATTATTAGGGAAACTAAAATAGCTGGATAGTTTGTATACTATCCAATTCAGTTTGGCTAATATGAAAACCAAAATTTCTAGTAACACAAAATAGCCAAGCTTTAGCTAGTTTGTAAACTAACCAACCAACTCTCTGGCTAATTTATTAAAAAAGTGAGGTTACGGCATTGTTTTTCGTTTTGCCGGCTTAACCGGATTTGTTTTGTGCATTTTAACGTTTTTAAAATGAATCATAGGCAAAATTTTAACGCTTCCTTGTTAGAAAACTCAACAACACAACCCTACCGACCCCGCCCCATTGCCCCTCCGCCCCATTGCTCAAATGGTCAAAAATGAGAGAAAAAAACCCAAACTCAACAACACAACCCAACCGACCCCGCCCCATTGGGCCCCTCCCGCCCATTGAGCAAAAAAACTGACTAAAATTGCGAAAATATGCAAAAAAAATGTAAAAAAAACTTGTAAAAAAATTAATTTTCATAAATCGCTCAAAAGTCAAAATTGTGACGTTATACGAAATTTTACTAAGAAAACAAAGTAGTAGACGATTACCAAGGCTATCGTTTTCTGCAATAAAAAGTTTTACATCTTGGAAGGTGAAAAAACAACGTCGATAAAATTTCAAAAAAAATGGAAATAAAAAATGTATTTAACAATATTAAAAAAAAATTATTTTTTTATTAATAAAGAATTTAAATCCTTTATTTGCATTTTAATCATGCACATTTATTGGCCCTCTGGCTTATAATGCATTATTTTTAAAAACACTATTAATTATAATAATTATAATAATAATTATTATAGTTTAAATGAATTACATACTATTATTATAATTAATAGTGTTTTTAAAAAGTAAAATATATAAATACAAACCCCACCAAGTTATTACAAAAATTAGTTATTAATAAATTAGCCAGAGAATTAGTTGGTTAGTTTACAAACTAGCTAAAGCTTGGCTATTTTGTGTTACTAGAAATTTTGGTTTTCATATTAGCCAAATTGAATTGGATAGTATACAAACTATCCAGCTATTTTAGTTTTTAGTAAATTAGCCAAGATCCTTGATTATTTTGTAAACTAGCCGCTAATTTAGTTGAAAATACATTTTCAATTAAAATAGCTGACAGTTTGGCTAGTTTGTAAACTATCCAAGTTTGCACATTAGCCGTAACATATATATTTAATATTTTTATCGATTTTACTGAAATTTTACGAAAATTGAAAAAACTTCGTCAAAACTTTATGAGCCAAAGGCATTTTTCATCCGTTTTCCGATGCAATTATAGCAAAAGTAAAAGTTTAAATTAATCATGACTTTTAAAAGAATTTTAAAGTCTGATTTAATTTACAAATTAAATTGGTAACTGAATTAAATTATTTAAATTAATTTATGCATATAAGTAACAATAATTACTTATAGTGTATTCAAATCCAAGCCAAACTAAACAAAAACGCCCAGACGCTTGATAACTCGTTCTTAAGAATAATTATTGGTCGATTCGGAATCTGTTGTAAATTATTATTAAAGGTTCCAGGGGAGGCCGCATGTGAAATTTATGCGAAATTTTCAGTAAATTGCGAAACTTTTAATGAAACTTCTGAAGTTGCAATGTTGAAATTTACGGATTGAAAATTTCATTTAAAATTTTAAAAAATTTGACTTTTCCAACTAAATGAAATATTTCAAGTTTGAAACTTTTAAAGTTGAAATTTTCATTTGAAAATTTTAACTGTCCCAACCCTAAATATAATTGATTTAATTTTTAATTCAATAACAACCACCCTGAACTGTTCTACGCTTTCGCATTTCCTTTTTTCTATAGAACCCTTCACCACCAAAAATACCTGTTGCATTTTCTGCAAGTGATCTGCCGAGTGCCTCTCCATGATGCCCGAAATAAGTTGCACGTCGCCTCTGATAGAGGCGTGCACGTCCTTTTCTGCTGCCAGATCTAGCACTCTTAGACCGTTGACAACCACGCCAGATATGATTCCGGAGAATGGACGTTCTATGCGCGACTTACCGCGAGACCATTTGCCACCGATTTGTATTTGCGATTGGCTGTTGAAGATTTGGAGTTCTTGACCTAAAAATGTTTTTGAATGTGGAAAAATAGTAAACAAATTGTAGATGTTATATTTTAAATTTTATTGGATGTTTTTTATTTACCTTCTGGATGACTGGTTTGTACGTTGTAATCATCTACTTGGAGTGTGGAATTGTGCCCAGATCTATGAAACTTGACTACGTGATATGCATTGTCGTTCACTTTAACTGTTATCTCCCCTAATGGGTGATCGTTCGTTCCTAAATTATAAACTACAAATACGTTTCCTTCAACCTAAAGAAAGAAAAAAAATATAATATTTGAGTAAATTGATGGGTTTTGTATGCTTACAATATACATTTCGATATAATCATTCGAAATACCGCTGACTATTCTTAATAAAACGGCATCTGATTTGGTAGTTATAAAACCAATCGCGATTGTGTCCTCTTGCTTTTCTGGCCTGTTGTCTTCAGGGAAGGTGTACGTTATTATTCCACGGTTGGGTCCAAATTCGTAGGAAACAGATTCTAAAAAAATTGTATGTTTTTTATTAATATACATTAATGAGTGTATATTTACCATCTGAACATGTTGGGCCAGTGTATGTGGTCATGTCGCAATCACATGTGTAAGCATGCCATTGTTGAACGCATATTCCAGCATTTGCGCACACGTTGTGACTACATTTTGCTGATTGTCCTATGAAAAACAAGTTGGTGTAAAAATTGTTTTATCCCGGCGCATTCGCCATTTTTGATAATGCTAATCTAATTAAAACAAAGATGGACCCATTTTTTTGTGATTTTTTTTTATATATATAGTCCAAGAAAAAAAAGATTTAAAGAAGTTATAAAAATATTTCTAATTAATATACCAAAATTGTTGTGAGAAAATCTAACAGTGAATTTCTTACAAGTACAAAGTAAAAAATAATATTTTTTTTATAAAGTTATGCTCTACGTATTTTTGTTTTTAAATTACAGGATATTAAAAATTAAATAAAATAGTTTTTGATTAATAACTTTTGAACACTTAAAGATAAACATACAATATTTAAAATATTAAAAATATGGTACGAGACTGGAAAATATATTTTTTTATTTCCATCTTGCGTTTTCTTTTTATCTCTTGTCGTTTTTCTGTAACTTAACTTTTGATAAATATATTTACGGTAATATATAACTACACGTATAATATATTAATATACGTAATATAAGTATACTTACCCGTAAATTTACGGGTAAGGAATCCACTGTTAAATTTTGACCAATATTTCTGGTACACATTAGAGTGGCCAAAAAAATAAAACTAGAACTCAAATTTAGACTTTTTTATAACAACCACATGTGCACAGTGTATATATTTTATTTTGTTTTTATTATATATGCTTATATTAATATTATTAATATTAGTCAGAAAAGCCTAATAATAATATTATATTATAATGTTATACATTGTGTCCACGGATGGACTTAACTATACTTGTAAAAATATTTATTTTCAATTTTTCGAAAAAAAGTCACTCCTCATAATTTCTTCTGCTTGTTATATAAATACCATTCACGATGAGAAACTTCTATTTTATTATACAGGGTGCGCAAAAAAAATAAAATTGTAGATTTTGCAAAATTAATAATTTTGTCTAATATGAAGAGCTTGTAAGGAGAAACCAAAAAGCCAAATAAAGTTTTTTCATGTGAGTTGTTGTTACTAAGATATTTGTTATTAAAAATAAAATAACAGGTCCTAATATTTTGTAGATATTGACTGCTATATCATTTTGTGATTATGAAGGTTGTTTCTTTCAACTGACATGTCTACAATGTCTACAATTATTTTTTAAAATTTAGGGACTAATGTCTTAAATTTTTAATATCAAATATCTTTTTGATTTCTCCTTACCAGCTCTTTATATAAGCGCCCAAAAAAAAATATTAAAAAATTTTGAAAATCTGTATTTTTGATCACACTGTACAAAAAAATGGAGCAAAAAGCAAAAGAAATTATGAGGAGTGACTTTTCTTCGAAAAATTGAAAATAAATATTTTTACAAGTATAGTTAAGTCCATTCGTGGACACAATGTATAATATTATAATATAATATTATTATTAGGCTTTTCTGACTAATATTAATATAAGCATATATAATAAAAACAAAATAAAATATATACTCTGTGCACATGTATGTATGAAAAAATGACTTTTCCGAAAAATTGAAAATAAATATTTTTACAAGTATAGTTAAGTTCATCCTGGACACAATGCAGTTTACATGTATATTTAGAAATTTATATAAACATTAAGTTTTCATAAATATGTATTAATATGAATTTATAAAAGCATAAATAATAAATAATTTAATATGAAACAAAAATCAAAATTCAAATTGTACTGCACGATGGAAATAATAATAATAATAATTATTCTAATACATATTATATACGGATTTTAATTGTAAATTCTCCAATAAGTTTAACAAATGCAGTAATTAAAATTATTACGAAAAAATATTAAATTAAATCACAAAAATTGTAAAAATGTAGAGAAATTTACGAAAAAAATATACCAAAAATCATTAAAAATTAAGAAAATAGATACGAATATAAAAAATATAAAACTTCGACTGAAAGCAAAATTTTCACAAAAACATAAAAACTATTAAAATTATGAAATGGTAATCTTAAAAAAAAAACAATCCGATTTTATATATACAGTAACTGAGGCAAGAACCAGGAATCTCCATACAAATGATATAAATATAAATTAACCAAATGGTTTGAACATAATTTCACTCTATGAAGCTTGTTGATTGCAGCCAGGAGTATATTTAAAAATATTAAATTATTAAAGAACGTTTTTTGAACCTACTGTAAAATTTCATTATTTGAAGATACCTGTTTCTTGAACTGGAGATCAATTATTTTTTGAAATTTGTACATTAATTTTTTAGTTAAACTTTGTTTATTTTGTAAAATACTAAGGACCGGTTGCTACACTGTTTATCAATATGCAACTAAGATAACTGGAAGTAAATTGAACTGGAAGCTACAGATACTGAATTAACCAGCAGTTATCGCGATTTATATAAGTTATATTTGTGCTTGTGTAGTGTTGTTTTTGAAATGAATTTTGGAGATTTTTTGGAATGTGACGACAATGAACAAATTGTTGAGTTTGTGTATCACAAAAGAAGACCTTATACAGTTTTAAAACGGGAAGATATTGGCTGCAGCAGCAAATATAGTGGAAATTATAGAGAAGGAAATATAAACTTCTACGGATAGGTAGGTACAAGTTCTACATATTTGTCCACGTATCAAGAGAAACATTTGATATCTATTCATCTTAAATAGATATTTACGTATTTTTACTTAAAAACATACTTATAAATTAATAAAACAAACATAACAACATACAATATTCAATGGAAATGTATTTATTAATATGTACCTTCACATCCAGCCGTAACCAAAGAACTATGCACCACTGCATCCTCCATAATATTGGGACTCTCTCCATTTAAATCCAACCCCGCTATACACCCCTCAAAACCGTGCCTGGACTTAACATCTTCTTGCGGTAACTGTGCGTACAAATCCTTGTAGACGCCGCCCAAGTACAAAATACCATCGAGCTCTAGATTGCCAACACCATGATTTGCAGCTATGACAATATCGTCGTCCACCATCAAAGTGTGCTGCTTTGCGCTTGGCCTCCTTATACCTGTAATAAGAAAATGTAGCATGTTTAGGAATATGGCAAAAATTTGAGAATATAATAGCCAAACTAGAGTCCTTTTAGATGTTAAATGTATAAGGGTGATTCTCCAGAACGGAGCAAATATGCTGAAACTCTTAAATAAAATATACTAATGAAAGTAGTTAGCATTTAAATAACACTACAATAGACAGTTTATGTCTGGCAGTAGAACGTACTTAACCAAAAAAATAAAACATTATTTATTTTATTAATTTGAATTTGCTTAAACGCTTTAAAGTCAACTCCATGGACTGTCACCACCTAGCGTAGGGACAACAAATCATCCATATACTATTAGACTAGATGCAATTCCCTATTAAAAATGCCCTATAGAACCCATATTGATCCAGATAAGGAAACTAATATGGATTTATATGGTTCTATATGTCCTATATGGAACGACCTGGTTTACACTTTGGAATCTATATGGTTTAATATGGAATTTCATTTTAAAATGTATAATTTAGGGATTTTTATATGGATTTATCTGGTTTCTGTTTTATGTGTCTTTCCATATAGGTTTCCCTATATGGTTGAATATGGAATTCCATTTTAAAATGTATATATATTTAAACGAAAATTGCATATTAAACCATATAGATTCCCCTATATGGTTAAATATGGATCTATATGGTAATAATTTTTTCACACCCAAACCATATTGGGCCAGATAGAGCAATATGAACCTATATGGCAATCCATATATAAATCACTTTTCTATATGGTTTTCCAGGTATGGAATTCTATCTGGTTCAATAGTGCAATGCCTGTTTCAAATTCCTATATTGAACCAGATAGAACCATATAGATTTTTATTTTGTGTTTCTATATGGCATTTTTAATAGGGTTGTAAAATGATTCTTTCATATTGCATTTCCTCCAACTTGGAATGTATAAAAAACACAACCAAAAGCAAACTTATTGATATTTTAACCCAAAATGTCGAATAAAGCATGAGACACCATTTTACAGCTAAGTTCTTTACAATCTTTTAATATATGATAAATCCACTGTATAAAACGTATTTTAGTGATGTTTGAAGACTTCGTCGTTTGAGTGATTTAGTGTTGATTTGTCTAAGCAAGGTTAACGGGGTGTAATATTTAATAAAAATTTATAAAGAACAATTCGTCGTTTATCTGACAAAGAGGCGTAACTCAAAAAAAATTCGTTTTTGAGTTATACCAGAATGATCACCAAAATCGACTTTATAGTCTCACAAACTGGCGTAGCTCTATAATAAATAGGTACAAATAAAGTTTTAGCATAAAGCAGTTTCGGCGTAACTAATATTTTTGCATTTTATGTGCCGTACAAACTGGCGTAATTCAATTCACACCGTTTTGTTTAAAAATGAGATACGCCTCTTTGTCAGATAAACGACGAATTATTTGCGAAAAAACGGGTAAGTATTTTTATTAAAGATCAACTCCATGTCTTTAATAACAAATGGATTTAAATACAATTGAAATTTAAACTTTCTCCATGTGAAATAACCAAATATGCTTTGCTTAAATTACAGTTAACCAAAGATACATTATGTACCATTTTCTAAAGTTTGTGACTTTAACTATAAAAACATCAACTCCATGGAGTTAAAGGTATGTACATGGAGTTGTTTACTTTCTTATTATTGCCCTAAACTCTTAGCTCATATAAGTTAAGGTATTATTAACGATAATTAATAATATATAGTTAAATTATAATAAATTAAATTTAATTTTTCTTAAAAAAAATTCTCTAATAGTATTATTATTATAACAGAATATACATATAGAGATGAAATGGATAGTTGTTTGGCCAGACACCGGATCCCTAATATCCGGCAAGAATCGAAGCCGGATAGCCGGATATCCGGCAGTTGAAAGATCGAATTTTGTTTTCTTTATTTGCATTTTTTAAGAATAATATTATTCTATTTAAATAAAAGTATTAATAGTATATTAAAGTACAAGTGGCGAAAGGCACTGTTTTCCCGCACGAGTCCGAAATTACGGCACGAGCCGCGAAGCGTGCAAGTGCCGTAAAGGACGAGTGCGGAAATGTCTTTCGCCACGAGTGCTTTATACTATTTTTTCTATTTCCGTTAATTTCTATTAGTTAGTTAGGGATAAGGAAATTTTTATGTTAAAAAACATTTGCTAAAATATCGTTCTTTTCTGTCATCTATTCAGATTCAGATTCAGAAGATGATTTGCCGTTATCTTATCTAATTCAGAAATCAACAGAACATGTTCTGCCTGCAGGCAATACAAGGTTAGATTTATATTGTTTTTATGTTATTGTGTCAACTCCATGGTTCAGAACGTCAACTCCATGGGTTCATTTATTTTTTGTTAAATAATAGAAGTTTAATTTATAGCCGTCTTGAAATTACTTTATGTTATTAAGAAATACACATTGAGGTATTATTTTGCTAGTGTTTTATTAATCTTTGCTTTTTATTTTTTTACCACCCCAATTTATCCACGTTTTGGATATTCACCCATAATATTAAACTCTAAAATGTGTAGGTAATACTTACCAACTGTATGCCAGCGATTGTCGTTAAGATGCGTTCGCACGGTATCCTTCAACGTAACCGGTCCATCGCCTACGTTGACGATGTAGTTTATATGGCCATCTACGAGTTCCACAGCCACGAAGTCTTCTTTTTTGCCGCCGTTGAACATAATGAGTCCGTTGGCTTCTCGAGTTTTGAACATGAAGTCGATGTGGATGCTGGAGTAGGCCCTGAGCATAGGTAGGCCGATAAATGTGTGTTTGGAGCGGAAGGTGACAGGACGGTGGAGATTGTCCGTGGCGTGTTTGACGAATTTTGCGGCGACCTATAAAAAGTTTTTATCGTTAATATAAATAACACGGTGCAACATTTTCAGAAAAAAATTAAGATGATGGGGTTCTGAAAGTATTTTCGGTTTCTACAATTAAAATCATGAATTATAGAGTTTACAGAATGTTTAGATTGATTCTGGTTTTTTTTAATATCAATTTAAAGTTTTAGTAATTCTGGATCCCGAAATATCGTAAAATAATAAATAATTAGTACATAAAAGATAATTATTGGTTTTGTATATTGTTTTATAAAGTAATAACAATCAAATAAAGAAAAAAAATATTTAAATAAAAAAATAATGAGAACAATAAAATGCAATTTTTTAAAAAATTTAAACTTTTTCTGGATTTTATATGTTGTAGTGCAATTTCTTAGTTATTTCGCTTCTACCATAGTGATAATTATGATAAATAATATTATTATTATTATATTAATTATTAAAAACATATTCTTTTTAACAAATAGAATGAGTCAACATAAAAGATATAGCAAATTTTATTTATAATTTTATGCCAAAATTTCCATTGCCATAGACCAACAAAAATCTGCCAACATCGAATCAAACCTCTTTTCTCTATAACGATTTTCTATTTCCAATATTGTTTGATGCTCTTATTTATTCGGTGGACAGCTAATTTTCTAACAGGTCAAGATGTGCATGGAGGAAATGTACTTTTATTGACATGTTTACACCCATTTTTTATTTTTGTTTTATTTTTTATTATTTCTTTTTAATTTATTGTTATGACAACAATTTTCTACCAGTTAAATGGTTTAAATTAATAAATAACGGTTTTTCGGGTTCCAAAATTAATAAAACTTAAAATCGATATAAAAAAACCTGAATCAATCTAAACATTCTGTAAACGCAAAAAGGCATTCTTTGAATAGGAGAAACGAAAACCACTTTCAGAACCCCATAATTTTTTTTGCTGTTGCACTGTAATTAAGTATATTTCAGATTGAAAGTTTAATGTTTTATCAATAAAAGGAAATATTTAAATTGAAAACAATTTTTGGAGGTTTGCAAATATGGAAAAATGGTTTGCGTGTTTGCTTACCTTTATATTCGGAAATCCTGATATAGATTGTTCAGAGCTTAACGCCCTTGCAAGCTCAATGTATGGAATATTATTAAAATAAAACTGCTGAATGTCACCAACGAAATTGGGAACTGTTGTGGACATACTGATTTCTTCTTCCAAATGATATAAACCACCTAAATGAAGGGTTCTCCATTGAAGAGTGTTGTACTTTCCTTGAGACTCGGCTGAAATAAAATAATTTTAAGGTTTTGTAAAATTTGCATCTATTTTAACAGAAAACAGCAAAAAAGCATATTTAAATAATGCAAAGGAATGGTTAATGCTTTACAACTTTTCCAATTTTGATCCTACATAATATATTATATTGGGATACTGTATCGTTTCTCATAAATAATTTATAAATTTTAAATGTATACATTATATATATAATTTCGTCATTTCTGCAATAATAATTACTCGTACCTCTTACTGGTGATTGGTTATCCAATTGAAGTTTTAGGTTAGCCCCTCTTCTTGAGAATCTTACTGTATGGAATTCATTGTCATTTACGTTTTGACCAGCCAATAAAATCTGAAAAAATATCATTAATATCATTGTTTATCTTTATAGTGAAGATGTTATTCCAAATATAAAATTAAAAAATGTTAATTTAAAATAAATTTATTATAAACAATTTAACATTTACAAATGGACAATACAATTTATAAACAACATATTACATAACTACCGGGTGTTTCAGCTTAGAAAAATCAGGCGATTTATCATTTAAATAATTTATATTGACTGTAATTTTCTCAGGCAACAATGCATTTTTTTATATAATTTGATATGTTTTTAAAACTTAATGAGTGGCATTTATTTTGTGTACCTTTTTAATTTTTAAAAATTTAAAATGTTCCCTACTAATTTACACGTTTTTAAAGTCAAATGTTGATGTAAGTGCAAAGCACAACCATTTGTAAAAAATAAACCTTGTTCTATCAGGGCTGTCATCAAAATGTAAAATGTCAATTTTAAGATTAATTTACCTTAACCACAAATTTACCATAGCACTTTATGACCTCTTTTAAGGCTTACAAGACCTCTGTAAGACACATTACGTTTAAAACGATTACTATTCTGTATAAACAGCAAAAACCCAAAGCACAAAAATTGAAAACAACATAAAAATGGCAGCCGTTAGAGTCTGTACAGCTGGTTGCCTAACTTCGTGATTTTTAGTATGCGCGAAATACGATAGATGTGTGGATTGTAATCTATTCTATGTATCGTTTACAAATTCGCAAAAAACAATTTGATAGCTTTTGAAAGCCGTGTATGACATGTCCAAGTATGGGATGATTCAACAAAACTGTCACTGTCATCCTCCATAGCCTATGGATGGACCATAGCAACCTTAGTTCTTCATACAGAAAAGATGTTGGAAATTGCAATGTTTTTTTAAAAAATCCATATTTTCCACAAAAATAAATATATCGAGATGAACCAAAAACAAAACTGTTAAGAATAGATGTGACTTGATAAATAAAACTCAATTTAGAACAATATACGGTTTTGCCACTCTACAGAGTGTCTTAAACTTATGGTAAAAAACATCTTTTTGTTTAAATCTGTATATTATAAACGTACGTCTATTTTTTAGTATTTTTTAAAATGTGAGCGATTCTCCATTAATGTATTTACAATATTCTTTAATATATATTTAAATCCGAAATCAAATAAAAAAGTTATTTGCGATTGAAATTCATCGAAAATTTGTGTGGATCGATTATTTTGCCTGTGAGTGCATTAATAACCTTAAAAATCATAAAATTAAAAAAAAAAAATAGGCCATAATAAAAATAGTATATTACACTACAAGGGCAGAAAGTGTGAGATTCCTGCACTGCGCGCCATGATGCCCGAGGCGAAGCCGAGGGCATCATGGCGCGCAGTTCAGGGCTCTCACACTTTCTGCCCGTGTAGTGTATACTATTTTTCTTGCTACTCCGCAGAAAATACGGGAAAAAATTAAATGTATATAAAAAAACTTGTGTCAAAATTAAAATCTGACGTTTAATTTAATTCTGACGTTTACATTCAAAATCAATCAAACTGTAGCGTTGTCATGGTAATTCAGCAGTGCCAATACAGTAAAAATAAAAGGTTGTATTTTAATTAACAAATTACTACTTTATAACAAATAGAAGTACCATTAAACACTTAAAACAACATAAAAAGTAAAAAAGTAAAAACATAAATTGTTTATTTGTTGTTATAATTGCAAAATTATGGTTTAAAACTGTCATATTTTTGTGTTTCTCATGTTGGCAGTACGAAATTTGAATGTTAAGCACACGACTAAAAAGTTTTTACTCCCGCTATTAGAGTGTGCGCGTATAGCTTGACCAATGCAAGAAACGTAAACTTTCTGCCGTGAAATCGGGGACAAAACAACGTATTTTGAGTCGAGGTAGTAAGAAAAATACTTTTTATCTAATATTCGGTGTGTAAATAACTTTTGACAGCGGTTAATAAAATTGTTTTTGTTAGGTTTTATCTAAATTAACGAACTTTTTGTTTTTTTATTTAAGCCTGTAAAAACTGAAGTCACTCGAAATGAGACAATTAAATAAACAAAAAGATAAAATCTTCCTTAAGCCCTAACCTGCCTTTCGCATAAATAATCCGGACACCGACGCATTAGAAGGGACCGTCATAAAAACGGAAACAAACCCCGTGTCACGCCGGATTACAGCTCGGACTTCAAAACTCCAAAACTCACCTTATCCTTTTCCTTGTCCTCCTTCTTTTTGTCCTTGACGCCCAGCCGGACGGCCAGACGTATCCTGCCGGCGGCCACGGCTATCTCGATCCTGTCGCCCGTCTCCACGGTGGACGAGATCAGCAGCATGCCCAGGGGTTTGCTTGTTCGGAACCTGGAACAATGCAAGAAAGGATGTAAGGTTTTTGTTTAAGAAATAAAATTTGAATAGGTATAAAGCTAATGTAAATTATAAGATATGTAAATGGCTGTTATAATAATTTGTATAAACAGAATACGTTGTTTTTATAAAATATTGCTTTAGTTTTTTTAAAATTGCTCTATAAAAGAAAATTATTTTAAACTAGTCCTGTCAAATAAAGGTGGCAAGTTTGATTCCGATTCGTTCAAAAAGAACGAATCATTTAAATGAACCGAATGAATCAAACAAAGTTTGTGAAAGAATCAATTCTTTTTTAAACATTTTTTTTATATCACGATGAGCGAACTAAAAAGTGAATCAAACCATAAAATAAATATAAACTTGGTTACAAGCACTGAATTAAATGCTAGGTTCGGATCACGATACACTACGCTAAAATGTCGGTCTTTTTGAATAACTGGTGATATTTCTAGTAATATTTCAGGGAATTTTTTTTCAAATATCAAAATACTCTTTTGATTCAAAAGTTTCCAATAAAACCTACTTGTATTTTGTTTTTTATGTAAGCTGTGATGTTATTGCACCGGAAAAGCCATAGGTTAATTTACACGTAAGCAAAATAAAAATCGAATACAATAATTTAATAATACAACCATTGATTCATTTAACGATACAAGTCATCATTACAAACGATTCAAGAACCAAGTCATTAATTCGGTCGAACCTGAATTGTTCGTTAATTATCTGTTCCTGAACCAGAAAGTGAATCAGTCGCGAACGAATCTTTATGAACGAATCATTTTAAAAGAATGAATTAAAAGAATTGATTCACCAAAAAGAATCGAACTTCCCACCTCTACTGTCAAACCGTCGCACAGTGGGCTAGAGAGCTGATTTAACGCGCAGAAATTAATTGTTTAAGTAACCTCTTATAATTATAACTATAGTTACCTAATGTTTATTTTTGTCCTAATTGATATCATTTTAATAAAATTTACATTTTACTATTATTAGAAAAACAAATTCACTTTAACAACAAAATTATCTTTTTTTTCAAGCGGCCATGATATACAACCTGTATAGAGATGGTTGAAGTGCGCCTGTTTCATTAGCGGCAGACAAAAAACTCAAAAAAGCCTAGGGATAGAAGTAAATCCATAGGTGACTCAATAGACGGAATATTTAGTGATTATTTATTAAATTTTAATTGAAATAAAGAACAACTAGGTAGTTTATTAGTATAATATTATGATGATAGAGCCAATGTCGGAACTCCAAACAAATGTCAGTACGTCAAAATTAATTCAAGCGCAGCATTTTGACAGAGCAGTGTTTATTTTTAGTTTCGGATATTTATCGTCATTGTAAGTAAGGGTTATAAGTTTTTTTAGTTTTTATCAATAATGCTTTTAGCCAAAATTTTATACCACATGAGTTATAAGTAAATAAAATAATTCTATTGCTTATCCTTTTTATATTACGCCCTTGAAAAAAAAATTGTATATGTTATTTGGAGTAGAAGCTCTTTTTGTGCTTCGTACAGTTGCCTGCCTCAGCTACGCTTCGGCCGTCAATCTCTGTACTCACCACAAAAAGAGTCACTTCTACTCCTTATGACATAATCTACTATTGTGTCATAGCAAAACTAAGATCTATATTTTTAATGAGTAAATTACAAAAATATGATTATACTGAATATTTATAAAATAAAACTTATTAATTATGGCTGATTTTAATAAAAATTACATAAAAAATAAGTAACTATCAGTACTACTGATAGTTACCTATCAATAAAGGAAAATGTAAATTAGTATAAATAATTATTTTAACGTTATAACGTTAAAATTTGACGTTACTGATACTTATTCATACTTATTGATATTCCCCTCGATTGATAACTATTAGTAGTTCACAATCCACACAACAAGGTCTGTTCGATCTCGTACTAAAAATCATTGCAACACTGCACATCATACAATGGCGGCCATTTTTGTTGTTTACAATTTTTGTGCTTTGAGTTTGTACAGATCGTTTTAAACGTTGTGTTTTTTACAGAGAGACTTTCAAGCCTCAGTGGTAAAAATTTTATTATTATTTCTTTGAAAAGAAATATTAAAAATTTAAAATGGTATAAAATCTGTATAATTTGGATTTTTTAAATAAAATTTAAAATTTGTCGATAAATTATGGTAAATATTATATTTATTGGGGGCGCCATGGGGCCGGTACGGCCGAGCAAAAAGTTATCTTTTTTTCGAAAACTTCAATTTAAATTCTGCTTGCGCAGAACTTATTTATTTAATGTCATTATAAACTCATATAAATTTGGTGTCTAATAATTGAGATATCGGTATACCCAAAATCCACCAGCCGCCACTGGAGAACAGGTTTAGTCGGAAATGATCTAGAGTTGTTTTATTGCTTTCTCCTCTATATTAGGCAATGAAAATGTTTTTTCCATTAGGGATGTAACCTCTTGAAACATTTTCTTGGCGCTTTATGAAGAAAGTAACAAAAAATAGATTATTATAATTGAAGCTGTTCTGTGTGTCCACGAGAAAATCATGAAAATCAAATCCGATCTCGCTAATTTACCACCTACACAATCGGCGGTTTAACACCTGCAGAAAAATATGTTTAAACTCTGATAAAGAGATATGTTTTACATACCAACCATGGTTTCTCTAACAAGATACAGCGAATATAAAAAAGAGCCAAACCTACCACACGACACTTCCACTAAAAAAATCACAGTCAAACGATCATAAACATTAAAGAAATAAATATATTTTGACGTGGATTGGACCTACAGGAAATACCGCAATAAAAAAACGAGACTGAGACTCTTTCTCTAAAGTAGTGAGAAAAAGCGTTCTTATGGGTGTACGAGCCCGGCCATCAGAGACAAGTCTCTGGCGGCCAGGTTCAGTCGAGGATTGGTCGGCTCTCGTTAGTCGCTCGGTGCTCCAATTGTAGAATATTAAAAGAGATACAAAATGTTTATCAAAATAATTTATCATAAAAATTATTTTAACTAAATATATTTTTTTACTCATTTGTAAAAAAAATATACTTCAGACAAAAATTATTTGAAATTCCATAAAAAATAATTTATTCTTGTTACTAAAATTTTGCGTAAATGGGTCGTTTTAAAAAAACACCCGCCTTCCGCTGTCCGTAAGTTTGAATTCCAATAGCTTTGTTAAAAATTATCGGATCTTATTGATTTAAAAACCAAGTGAAAGCCTAACAAGCCCTTAGTAAACTCTTTCAGAAAATGTTTGTTTAGTTATTTCAGAATATTTTTTTTTTAATTTTGAAACTTGTGATACACACATTTTCGCATTAGCGTTTTATAAAACTTACATACATGTTTTTTTTTAAATATTGAATAACCAGAATTTTGTGTTGCTTTATAGCAATCCATAACATCCTTAGTTAATAAAGTAAACAATTTATATATAAATTAATTAATTTTAATCTACTTTTTTTAAATTTGACTCATGTCCCAGACATTTTTTCCGTTGCGTTACGTCCGTCGCGTTACCGATAGAATATTTAAAAAAACATATATATGGCAATTTTTTTGGCACTCACGTGATTAACAAATGATGTTCGGTTGTACACATTACCCAGCTGAATTTATTTATTCAATCAGGAAGAAGATATCGTTTAAAACAGGTGCGGGTAACGCGAATGTAATAATTGTTTGTCCGCTAAGTTACTCAAAAAAATAATAAAAATAAGGTAAGAAAAAATACTATTTTTCATGTTTATGTTTATTTTAGGGCACTAATGCTCATTGAGAGTAATTAATGACTGTAATGTTTTATTATTATTTTTTTAATATGGTTTCACAAAACTTTGTCCACTGCGTTACCGAGTCAATTACGTTACCTTAAGGTAATGCAATGGAATTTAGGGTAACGCAATAGAATTTTTCGACATCAAAGTGGATATTTACCGTCGCTTTTATTAAAAGTAGTTTATTATTAACCAATTTAAAATTATTTGTGATTACAATTCATGATATAGATTACATCCAAGGGAAAATTCTACGCAATATACAAGTACTAAAAGACACCAGCTTATAGTCAAAGAAAAAGGGTGTCTATAATTTAGAAATCTATGTTGTTATTCTGCAAGTGAGCACCACTACAAGGGATTTTGTTTATGCATTACTCTAAAATCGTACCACCCTGTATAGTTTCTTTTTTACGTTATCTGATTAAGTCCTTTGTGTACCCCAGTCCGTTGTGATACCAATGTCTATTTCGTTACTTTCTTCAGTTTGTGTTAAAAAATCCTTAAAATGATTTTACTATCACTTGGTAATACCTGTTTATAAATTAGAGTTTAACTCACTAATACAGTGACTAAAAGAAAATATTAATGGTATTGTTTTTTTAACAAAGAATCGGAATGGTGTCTTTTAAAAAGTAACTTAACTAACATATATATTTAAAAAAGGAATACAATTAAAAAAAAAATTGGAGTCAAAAGTTTGTGAACTAAGTACTTTTTTTATTGAATTAAATTTTGGATTTCAAATTGGTAACACACTGGAGACATATAAAGCTAGCTAAACACATTTTTCTAAAAAAAACGTAAAAAAAATAAAAAGTGCACTGCCTGTCTTGAATGTAAGTAAACAAAACTCTAAACATTTATAAAAATCCAACCAAATGTCAATTTAAGCAAAAAAAAATTTTCCTGAAAGCGGGTGTTTCTTGAAAATGACCCATATATTTGTTTGAAAAAATTGTCAGGTGATGCAAATTTGGCTTTAGGCTTTTCAAATAATGATAATCCCCTATTAAGTCATGAAAAAAAAACAGGCAGTGTCTTGGCACGTATAGGTCAGTCCATTTTTCACCAAAATGATATAGAGTTGTTTTATTGCTTTCTCCTCTATATTAGGCAATGAAAATGTTTTTTCCATTAGGGATGTAAACTCTTGAAACATTTTCATGGCGCTTTATGAAGAAAGTAACAAAAAATTATTTTTAATTGAAGCTGTTCTCGCGTCCACGAGAAAATTGTCAAAATCAAATCCGATCTCGCTAATTTACCTCCTACACAATCGGAGGTTGAACACCTGCAGAAAAATATGTTTAAACTTTAGATAGATTGTCATTGACTCTGATAAAGAGATATGTTTTACATACCAACCATGGTTTCTCTAACAAGATACAGCGAATATAAAAAAAAACCAGACCTACCACACGACATTTCCACTAAAAAAATCACAGTCAAACGATCATAAACATTAAAGAAATAAATATATTTTGACGTGGATTGGACCTACAGAAAATACCGCAATAAAAAAACGAGACTGGGACTCTTTCTCTAAAGTAGTGAGAAAAGCGTTCTTATGGGTGTACGAGCGCGGCCATCAGAGACAAGTCTCTGGCGGCCATGTTCAGTCGAGGATTGGTCGGCTCTCGTTAGTCGCTTGGTGCTCCAATTGTAGAATTAAAATTAAAAGAGATACAAAATGTTTATCAAAATAATTTATCATAAAAATTATTTTAACTAAATATATTTTTTTACTCATTTGTAAACCAAATATACTTCAGACAAAAATTATTTGAAATTCCATAAAAAATAATTTTGTCTTGTTACTAAAATTTTGCGTAAATGGGTCGTTTTAAAAAAACACCCGCCTTCCGCTGTCCGTAAGTTTGAATTCCAATAGCTTTGTTAAAAATTATCGGATCTTATTGATTTAAAAACCAAGTGAAAGCCTAACAAGCCCTTAGTAAACTCTTTCAGAAAATGTTTGTTTAGTTATTTCAGAATATTTTTTTTTAATTTTGAAACTTGTGAAACACACATTTTCGCATGCCCCATTAGCGTTTTATAAAACTTACATACATGTTTTTTTTTTAATATTGAACAACCAGAACTTTGTGTTGCTTTATAGCAATCCATAACATCATTAGTTAATACAGTAAACAATTTATATATAAAATAATTAATTTTAATCTACTTTTTTAAATTTTACTTATGTCCCAGACATTTTTTCCGTTGCGTTACGTCCGTCGCGTTACCGATAGAATATTAAAAAAAACATATATATGGCAACTTTTTTGGCACTCACGTGATTAACAAATTATGTTCGGTTGTACACATTACCCAGGTGAATTTATTTATTCAATCAGGAAGAAGATATCGGTTAAAACAGGTGCGGGTAACGCGAATGTAATAATTGTTTGTCCGCTAAGTTACTCCAAAAAAAATAAAAATAAGGTAAGAAAAAATACTATTTTTCATGTTTATGTTTATTTTAGGGCACTAATGCTCATTGAGAGTAATTAATGACTGTAATGTTTTATTATTATTTTTTAAGTATGGTTTCACAAAACTTTGTCCACTGCGTTACCGAGTCAATTACGTTACCTTAAGGTAATGCAATGGAATTTAGGGTAACGCAATAGAATTTTTCGACATCAAAGTGGATATTTACCGTCTCTTTTATTAAAAGTTGTTTATTATAAACCAATTTAAAATTATTTGTGATTACAACTCATGATATAGATTACATCCAAGGGAAAATTCCACGCAATATACAAGTACTAAAAGACACCAGCTTATAGTAAAAAAAAAAAGGGTGTCTATAATTTAGAAATCTAAGTTGTTATTCTGCAAGTGATTTTGTTTATGCATTACTCTAAAATCGTACCACCCTATATAGTTTCTTTTTTACGTTATCTGATTAAGTCCTTTGTGTACCCCAGTCCGTTGTGATACCAATGTCTATTTCGTTACTTTTTTTTAGTTTGTGTTAAAAAAATCCTTAAAATGATTTTACTATCACTTGGTAATTATTATACCTGTTTATAAATTAGAGTTTAACTCACTAATACAGTGAATAAAAGAAAATATTAATGGTATTGTTTTTTTAACAAAGAATCGGAATGGTGTCTTTTAAAAAGTAACTTAACTAACATAAATATTTAAAAAAGGAATACAATTTAAAAAAAAATTGGAGTCAAAAGTTTGTGAACTAAGTACTTTTTTATTGAATTAAATTTTGGATTTCAAATTGGTAACACACTGGAGACATATAAAGCTAGCTAAACACATTTTTCTAAAAAAAAACGTAAAAAAAATAAAAAGTGCACTGCCTGTCTTGAATGTAAGTAAACAAAACTCTAAAAATTTATAAAAATCCAACCAAATGTCAATTTAAGCAAAAAAAATTTTGATCTTCATTTTCCTGAAAGCGGGTGTTTCCTGAAAATGACCCATATATTTGTTTGAAAAAATTGTCAGGTGATGCAAATTTGGCTTTAGGCTTTTCAAATAATGTTAATCCCCTATTAAGTAAGTCATAAAAAACAGGCAGTGTCTTGGCACGTAAGGTCAGGCCATTTTTCACCACGGTTTGACTGGACCATACCTTTTCATTAAATTTTACTCACAAAATGTTATGATTTTATAATTCCCACTAAAATATTACTACAGTAATTTTTATTAATGTACATATTAAAATATTTGATTAGCTTTTGCACTAAATACCTCAAAACAATATCCTCAGTTTGGGTAATCATCTCGGCGTCCATGGTAACTGACATATGTTGCGAACCGTTGAAGCTTAATGTGGCCGCCTCTTTACCGCAAGTCGGTCCAGTAAACATCGTATTAGTGCAATCGCAAATAAACCTATTCCATCCTTCCGTGCACTGACCACCGTTTAAGCAGGGCTGAGAAGGGCACTGCTGAGGCACGGTGTGGCACAGGGTCCTAATCGAACCTATAAAGGAATAAGTAATTAGACAGGTTGGCTTTTAAAACTGGCAACCAGTTTATTTAAACAGAGAAAAGTAAATTATTAATTTAAAAAAATGCATTTATGTTTTTTTTTGTCCTACCCATATGTGCAATATTAAATATAAATTGTAGATGTAGTTTGTTTGATATTTGTTAAACAAAAATCAAACTTTTTGCATATAAAATGCAAAATATGAGAGGCATTTAAATTGTTTCTCTAAACTAAATTAACTTGTTAATTATAACGAACATTGTTCTTTTGTATGTTAACATAGTGCAAATGTAAAATATTGTTTTCACAATGTTAAATATTGTTTTTAGGGCGTATTTTCCGTTGTAAAAGTTTTGCGCTTTGAATTATTAAATGCCGTTAAAGTTTAATAGTTTTGGATATAATGTACGTCAAAATTGAAAAGTTTGGTTTCACAGCCAAAATTATTCATTGTTCTAATGTTAGTTCTTGTAGAACAGATTTAAAGTTGTTTTAAGAATATATAAATGTATTATAAGAATTTAAAATTTTCTTTGTTTTAAATATCGAATTCTACATGCTTCTAAAAATAATTGTTTCAATGTTTTATTGTATCATAATTAAAAAATAAAAATAATTAAAATTTGAAAAATGGCGAATGTCATAGATTAATGGTGAATGCACCGGGATTAAAACTTAATAACAATATTAGTCGACTTCTAAAATCATTTATATTTATTTTACAATATATTTTTATTTTATATTAACTTTTATATAATATATTATATTATAAATTGATTTTTTTGTCAGTACAAATTTAAAATTGTATTTAAAAAACATTAATTTATATTTTTATACAGAGAAGACAAAATTAATTTTATCTTTACAAATTAATTTATAAAATATTGTCTTTTTTTCCTTTATTCTGATATAAAAGTACTAAGAAAACACTTAATCGCAATCTATTTTTTTGGGTACTCAAGTTATTTTTTCATTTTCGTAGCGACATTTATAATTTTTGAATATTACTTATACAGGGTGCACCAAGCATCCTATGTATGGGTAATTTTTTATTTGAGAAGCTACAAGGTTAAATAAGACAAAAGTAGCGTAATTACAAGTCTATTAAAATATCATTGAAAAAAGTGAAAAAGAATCAGCGGTTCTCAATTTAGAAAAAAAACCGGAAAACCTGGAGAACTTATGAAAGTTTTTTTTTTAATTTTGAGAACCGCTGGCTTTTTTCCATTTTATAAATTTAATTCTAATAGGCTTGTTATTACGCAACTTTTCTCAAAACTTGCACCTCTTCAAATAAAAAATGTATTTATACAAGTATTATACATTAGACTGGGCCAAAAAAATTGACTATTTTTTTTTTGAAAAATATATCGAAAATGTCATTCAGAATGACAAAAAAATAATTTCGTGAAAATTTGAGCCCTTAATATTAATTTTAAGAGGTCTATCATCGCTATTTTTTATTTTTAGTCATAATTTGATGTTTTACGTTAGAACTGTCAAAACATTGAAGTGCAAAAAATTTCTTTTCACTTATTTTGATATAAAATTAAATTCTCTACAAAAAAGGTCTGATTGAAAATTTTTGTCAGACGAGCCGTTTCCGAGTAATTGAGCTTAATAAATCGATGTATTTTTTCGATTTGCCCTTTTAACTTTGAAATTTTGTAAATAATGAACCAATGAATATTTAAGAAAGCTCACGTCGGATTCTTAAAGGAAATTTAATGTTCTACAAAAAAGGTCTTTTAACATTTTTGCCTAAATTTAATTCTTCAAAAGTTATTCACGATTAAAATCGAAGAAAATCTTAAATTTTCAATTTTTTCTTCGTGAATAACTTTTGAAGAATTAAATTTAGGCAAAAATGTTAAGAGACCTTTTTTGTAGAACATTAAATTTCCTTTAAGAATCCGACGTGAGCTTTTTTAAATATTCATTGATTCATTAGTTACAAAATTTCAAAGTAAAAAGGGCAAATCGAAAAAACACATCGATTTATTAAGCTCAATTACTCGGAAACGGCTCGTCTGACGAAAATTTTCAATCAACCTTTTTTGTAGAGAATTTAATTTTATATAAAAATAAGTGAAAAGGAATTTTTTTCACTTCAATGTTTTGACAGTTCTAACGTAAAACATCAAATTATGACTAAAAATCAAAAATAGCGATGATAGACCTCTTAAAATTAATATTAAGGGCTCAAATTTTCACCAAAATTTTTTTTTGTCATTCCGAATAACATTCTCGATATATTTTTCAAAAAAAAAAAATAGTCAATTTTTTTGGCCCAGTCTATTATACATATAGAAGGATATTTGGTGGTCTCTGTATATATTTAAAATAAAAATAAAAGATTTACTGAAAATAAACTATAGTAGATAGAAATATGGAATTATAAAGGAATTACCAACAAAAACCAAATATCCCTAGATAATCAGGTGTTTCTAATCCAGTATTGCCGAATCATTTATTTGAAAATGACAGATTGATAATTTTGGTTGGACATTATCGTTTGGAAAACTATGCAGTGAAAATTAACAAAAATTTAGATGGCACTTCTACAAGCATATATGCATAAGTGAATACGAGAAAAAAAATCAATAATTTTTCAATGTCAAGATATTCAATAATTAAAGATATGGGCTGTATAGGAGATGTATTTAATTAACGCTTATCTTATAACATGACAATAAGAAATCGATGATTTTTTTTCTCGTATTTACTTATACAGGTCTGTAGAATTGGCACCACCACCACTACCTACTTTTTGTCTTATATTGGTATAAAAATGTTTATGCATGAGCGAAGCTTCCAGAGCGATTTTTTAGTAAATGAGTAATCTTGTGACGTCTATGAAATGAATTGAATTCACGATAAACGCAAATTAATATTAATATATTTAAAGTTAATTTTATTTGACAGTGTATCTGACATGACATATGTCAGACGGGTTTAACCTCACTTTTTTCCAATCGTACATCTGTCAAACCGTTTTAAACTCACTTTTTCCCAATTTAATAAATTAAGTAACTTAACATAATAATTTATTAAAGCAGAAGTAGATAACCAGAAAATTCTTGTTTAAATCAAAAAATTATCTGATTTTGATATTTTTTTTTAAAATCTAGGTTGACTTTTCTGTAACACAGCTGCATGTCTACCATTTTGATTTTAAGCATATACAGTTTTTTGCCTAAAATTTGTCAGAAATAACAGCGGGTTAAAATCATACTGTAGTCCTATATTTTGTGAACATTTTGTTTTTTTCTTCACGTTATTATCTCTGTTAACGAAGATACACTCTTTTAAAAGCAACTCTTGTTTGACTGTTTAGTAACGATGCTAAAATATACATTTTTATTCAGTTTTTAATTTGAGCATATACAGGGTGCAAAATTAAGACAAATGTCCCCCCCCCGGAAATTTGTAAGACCCTGTGGATGCACCAGATAAAGTCTCATGTGTAAGGTTGATATACGCTGGAACGGATATCAGTTATTTTAAAATATGACAGTAAAAGTTGTCAACTAATGGTATTTATCTGAGACGGATATTTTTCGAATTGTCGCATTAATTTAAAGCCTGAATTATAGATTGCCTTCCTTCCTTCCTTCCTTCCTTCCTTCCTCCCGTAGAAGATGAACACTACGAAACCCAATAAACATTTTTGACGTAATTGTCACCATTAACATTTCCCGTGTAAGAATTTTTAATACTTTGTGATAATATTTTGCAATTATAGTAATAAAAAAATCAAAGGATAAAATATTTTATTGACAAAATCATATTTTGAAGTTATTTTAATATTTTAAAGTATCAATAATTGTTAGGTTTAATTAAATTTAATAACGGGCAATGTTAATGATGACAATTACGTCAAAAATGTTTATTTAAATCGTAGTGCCATTTATAGATTCCCGTACCGTAAGGACGGCATTCCTTCCTCCCGTAGAAATTTTTAAGTTTTATCTTTCACCGTAAAGGTCATGACCAATCACAGTACTTGTTATGGACATGCACTGTAGGGTGGCAGCGCGTAGGCACAAAATATTTAAAATACATGATTGTTCAGTATTATTTAAGATAGGTGTTCAGTTTATTAAATAATTATAATTTGTGTCTCTTAATAGGATATTTAGATATTGTTTATGATAAATGTCTTTAATTTTTAGAAACGTTGCCGTTTCCCGGTCTTGGTAAAGTGGGCGAGTCTTCCAACGTCTTGTTCGATGTTTTTTTTTTATTATACTGCCCTATGGAGAAAGGCAGTAACTACAAAAAAATTCTAAATGCGTTTTCTTGTGCTATGATAAAGCTATGGACATTTTGTATCTTAATTCAACAAAGAAATGCAATAATAGTATATTCTGTAACAAGTTTGGCATACAGCATATTCCGCTCGAGTGAAGAGTTTGTCACACGAGCCGAAGGCGAGTTTGACGGTTTCACGAGAGCGGAATATGCAATTCCAAACGTGTTTCAGACTATACTTTTTCTACGTTTCCAAAAAATACCATGGAAAAATAATTTAATTGGAAGAAAGTGAGGTTGGATTGGTCTAAAATTCGTTAGATATTAAAAACAGAGATGTCGCCACGAGTATTTATTCTGTCATCAGATGATAGAATATTTCATTCTGTAACACTTTACGGAATATATGTCATTCCATAGATAAAAGTGATATTAGAAGGGTGAAATTCCGTAATAGGAGTAGAAAAACTATCTTATAAGTTAAATACCTACTGCTTTTTATAAAAATGCAGTTTATGCTAATTTCCCACAAATTTCATGTTTAGGAGTTACTGCCTTTCTCCATAGTTGGGCAGTATACAACAAGCTGCCTGGGCAATTAAAATTGTGATCACTGCACTA